CTATCTATCTATCATCTGTGTAGATATTTCTATTTTATGTGCATTGGTGTTTTGCCTGCATGTATGTCTGTGTGAGGGTGTCAGATCTTGGAGCTACAGACAATTGTGAGCTGTCATGTGGTTGCTGGGGATTGAACCCAGGTCCTCTGGAAGAGCAGTCAGTGCTCCTAACTACTGAGCCATCTCTCCAGCCCCTCTTCTTTTCTTTAGGTGATCCCCTCACCCTACTTTACCTAGACACCGTGACCATGGCAACTCTTATAAAGGAAACATTTAATCGGGGTGGCTTGATTACAGTTTCAGAGGCTCAGTCCATTATCAGCTCGGTGGAGAGCTTGGTGGCAGAGGCTGTGCTGGGGTGGAAGCTGAGAGTCCTACATCTTGCAGGCAATAGGAAGTCAACTGAGACACTGGGCAGTATCCTGGGCATAGGAAACCTCAAGGCCCACTCCCACAGGGACACGCTTCCTTCAACAAGGCCACACCCACTCTCACAAAGCCGCACCTCAGAATAGTGCCACTCCCTAGGAGATTATGGGGACCAAAGACATTCAAACCACCACCTTGGAAATTTCCTGTGTCTCCGGAAATCTCTCCACCTAAGCAAGCTGGGGTTGTTGGTCAACTTACAGATGAATTCCATTATACAGATGACAAAATTATGAAATAATAGAAACTCAGTTAAGCCTACAAACTTAGGACCTGGCTGTGGTCCCCCTACCCCCAAATCAGAGCTTTCTATTATGTCATACTGCCTACTCACAGGCAGGGACCATGTTCTGCTGAAACTTGAATCCTCTTGCCTTCCGTGACTCCCAGTGGATGGATTACTGAATGAGCAAGCTCGTCAATAAACATGAGTGAACCCACCAGCCTATGCCCTGCGTGCCTGACTGAGGTTCTACATAGCTACAGAATGTTAGAAAATCGGGTGCTGAGAGGACAGGTGACTTGATTCGTACCCAACGTCACCACTTCTGAGGAGACGGTCTGGCAAGGGTCAGAACTAAAGTATTGGGTGAGATGACCGTAGAAGCAGAGTTGGGTACAAGCTTGTGGTGCCAGCCCTCAGATGGCTGAAGAAGTTCTAGGCCAGACTGAGCTACATAGTGAGTTCCAGCCCAACCTGGGCTACATTGTGAGATCCTGTCTCAAAGACAAAAGGCAAAACAAAGCCAGATAAGGGAAGATGGGTTATCCTTAGTTTCTAGCTGAAGTTGCCTATAATCTCTGATTTCTTTCCTTCACTTAAAAGTCCCGATGGGCCAGTGAGGTGGCTCATCAGGTAAGGTGCTCGCCGCTAAAGAGTGGCAATCTGAGTCCAGTCCCTGGGACCCAAATGGTGGAAGGAGAGAGAAGACACTCCTGCAAGTTGTCCTCTGACTTCCACACCCCCACCACGGCACACTCCCAACATGCACACGAAATAAATAAATAATCAATCAATAAATCAATGCAATAGACATCTCCGAGACCAGTAACTTATTTTTTTTAAGATAAGAAAAACAGCATGCCAAAAAAAAGGAATGTGCTTCACACTGAAGGGGCTTTGTGTAGACTTGAGAAATGCAGACAGCACCGGCTTAGTTAATTAATTTTTTGAGACCGGGCTCAGTCTGTTTACACAGCCGGGTATGGAACTGTGTAGCCCAGGCTGACCTGAACTGGCCTCAATCCCTAACCCAGTTCCAGGATGACAGGTATATGCCACCACACCTGGCTACGAAGTCCTCCACCACCACATCTGTCACTTGGAAGGATGCCTTGTTTCCTGTCTGTCCATCTCACCTAGGCTGGTCTCACAACAGCCAAACCTTGGACCTAAACAAATCTGGCATCTCCAAAATAGAAGGACCATTCGGAGACAAAGTGTCCAGGCGCTGCCGCCAGAGAAGGGACAGTGCCCCACATCCGCTGTCTGCTGCTCTCAGATGTCTTTTTGTCCCCATTTTTTTTTTTGTGGATATCTGTTGGCTTCCAGGCCTTATCTGAGCTTTGTCCTGGGTCCTTAGTGGCCTTTATGTGCAGTGGAAAATGCAGATTTTTCTAGAGCTGGAGGCTGGGTAGCATTTGGAGCTGTGGTCTTGTTGTAAAGTGTGGTCACAGCTGGGCATGAATGTCCACACCTTTAGTTCCAGCACTAGGGAGGCAGGGACAGGGGGGGATCTCGGAATTTAAGGCCAGCTCTGTCTACAAGATCAGTTCCTGGATAGCCAGGGCTACACAGAGAAGGAGAGAGAGGGAGGGAGGGAGGGAGGGAGGGAGGGAGTGGGAGAGAGGGAGGGAGAGAGAGAGGGATGGATGGAGGGAGGGGGAGAGAGAGAGGGAGAGGGAGAGGGAGAGGGGGAGGGAGGGGAGGGGAGGGAGGGAAGGGGAGGGAGGGCGAGGAAGAGGTGTGGCCACAAACAAAACTCCAGCTACACCAAAGAACAATTGACCTGGAATCTGTGGTCAATATGGAAGGATGGAAGCCGAGGGTTTCTCTCTTCTAGACTGGCTGTCAATTCACGCTGTGGGGAGAGGAGGACGGGGAGAAGGGGAGAAGGCCTTCTCCTCATGTAATCTTTGTGTTTCTGCCTTGCTGCTCTGGCAAGGTGGACCCTACCCCATGAGCGCACACTCTGAGCACAGCTAGGGGAACCTCGTCTGCTCTCCTCTCAGTGGGGACTCTGCTCCCTGGCCTTGAGGAAGAATGGGCTAATACTCCCCCCTCCCCGTACCCCCCCGCACCCCGAACTTCAGGTGTGGCTATGGGAACCCACCAGGAAAGTGACTCCATTCACCTTCACAACCGGCATCAGGAATGTGCCGGGAATGCCACTAGTTGGTTCTGGGGACAGATAAGACACCAGGATGCTGGGAAGAGTCCGAAAGGGCTCCCTCAGCAGCCAGAAGTGAGGTTTTTGGCAGACAGACAGGTGCTTTCATACCTCCAGAGGGTGAGTGGTTCCTTGAGAGTGGCCGCAGTTGGGCCTGACCCATCATCCTCTGTGCCTTTTTCCAAGCGGGCTACTTACCCATTAGACATCAGCATTTAACAAAGAAAAAAAGGAAGCGTGTTACATTGTAAAATAACACCAGGGCCACGCCCCAGCAGAGCTGCAAAGCCATTGCCTCGCCAAGCTGGCACAGGTTTCCTAGGAACAGTCCCCCTTTGTGTCCTTGATATATATACCAGGCCCTCCGAACTCTACTTCTGACTGAAATTATGCGCAGTACCACCAGATGTCCACCAGATGTCGCGAATGCCTTAATTACTACTGGAGCACGTTGCCAGCAAATGAGATTACAACTTTCTCAAACTGGGCCATTAATCCCAGACTTTAGAGAGTGGTGGAAGGAGGATCAGGGACTCAGCCTTATCTTCAGATACCAAAGCTTGAGGACAGCGTGGGCTTCACGGCACATGCCTGTAATCTCACTGCTTGGAAGGCAGAGCTGGAAGAATCTCAAGGTTGGGCCAGCCTGGTCTATGTAGCAAGTTCAAGTTCCGGGACACCCAGGATTACACAGACAAAACCCTGTCCGGAATAACAAAAACAAACAAACAAAGGCAGAAAGCCTATGCAGTCAGCAGGAGGAAAGCCATGCCTACTGATGGAAACCTAGGCAACTGTCCAAGCCTAGTGAAGTCATGGATCTTGGAGGAGAGACTACAGACCAACACTTTACTAAATCAGCCCCATCCCTAAGTACACTCTAGGCACTTGCTCTGCGTACGCAGGTAAGCGTAGTTCTCACCCCTCATCAAGGAAAGCGTCTCTTTGCAACAGATGAAGACCATTATGGTAGTAACTCACAACAAGGAGGGGCATATGGGAGTGTTTGGAGGGAGGGTATGGAAGGGGTTAAATTCCACAGCTGTGTTACACTCTCAAAATTTAAAAAATGACAGAAAAACCTCACAAGGCTGCTGGGAATCTCTGGGTGGCCTGGGAATGATGTGTTTCCGGCCATCCTGTCTTTATCTCCCAAGACCCAAGATCACAGGCCTGTGCCACCACGTCCATTTTAATTGGCGCCGGGAATTGAACCCAAGGCTTGGGCATGCTAGGCAAACCATCTACCACCACCTGGGCCACATCCCTGGTCTTCACAGGACTGTCGTAGGACGTAACATAAACATTTATAAAAAAATTGTCTTAGCACTCCCTTTCTGGGGGGGTGGAGGGGGTGAAAGTCGGTCACATTTGTGTGACAGAGACTTGGAATTGACAGTCTAAGAGCACCGTGGGCTTTGTTTCCAGGGCCTATAGCTAGATGTCCTCAATCCTTTCTGTTATATGTGGTCGCCGCAATCCTCCTCCCTGTTGTGCAATGCAGCAGGCAGAGGGGTCACATCCTCTGTATTCCAGGAGTTTCTTGCACTCCTCTTCCCGCCTGTGCCTGTTTCCAAATGTCCGGGCTACAAACAGGTCAACTATTATTGGGACCCATCGCGAGGCGAGCCCTCTTTAGTTTGCTTACTAAAGGATGTTAAGGGTTGCCTTTGAAAGACTCCGCATCTTAATTTCGGGGGGTGGCACACTTCAAGCCCCCGACGAAGACCTTTCCTGGCCACCCCGTTGAAAACGTCACTTGTCCCTCCTGGACCTGCGACTCTCTTCCCTGCTGTAGCGCGGTGGCTCACCATAAAGGCTTCCCTACCACTGGCGGCGCAAGCACATAGTTTTGTGTGCTTGCGGTGTTTGTTTTCCATAGGGCGGCACCCCTGTGAAAGAGCGGGGGAGGGGGGGTGTGTGTCTTCGTTTGGCTCCGGGTTAATTTCCTGTCGCCTGTAATGGTACCTGGTCCACGGAAGATGCTCAATGGACCATGCGCAAGACGGCCACACCGGCAGCCCACGGCAGGCAGGCAGGTGAATGTCAGGTTGCTAGCGCTAATGCGAGGTCAAATAGACGAGGCTGTGGAGAGCTACTGGTTGGTTTCTGGAAGGAAAACAACTAAGTGGGATCAGGTTCCAGGGGGATCCATTCCTTCCTTAGCCTCTCGCTTTTTTTTTTTTTTTTCTTTCTGTTCAGGGCTGAGCGTCCATGCTCACTGAGTGATTTCTAGATGGGACCACAGGCTTCCCCAGCCTAGCAAACAGGGCGGCAGTCTGTACTTCATGAGGCATGGTGATGCGGCCAGTTACCGCCTAGGAGCTCGAGGCTTGTTGAGAGAGCCGCTGCTCAGGAGTTTGTGGCCTTGTGGTGCCTGGAGAAGGGGCATGGAGGGAAAGGCTGGAATGGCAATGGGAACACTTTACCAAGGCGTTACCAAGTCTTGAAGGAAGAAGTTGTGGAACTGGATCAGAATAGGTGAGCACACATGCTGCCATTAGTGTTATTCCAGTAGGGGCAGACATCTTTTTTATTTTTTTCAGATTTTCTTAAAATTTAAATTAGAAACAAGCTTGTTTTACATGTCAATCCCAGTTCCCTCTCCCTCCCCTCCTCTCCTGTCCCCTCACTGACTCTCTATCCTGTCCCTTTTCTGCTCCCCAGGGAGGGTGAGGCCTTCCATGGGGGATCATCAAAGTCTGTGATATCCTTTGGAGCAGGACCTAGGTCCTCCCCCATGTGTCTAGGCTGAGAAGAGTATCCCACCATAGGGAATGGGCTCCCAAAGACCATTTGTATACCAGGAATAAATACTGATCCATTACCAGAGGCCTCATAGATTGCCCACGACTCTTAACTGACACTCACATTCAGGGGGCCTGGTTCAGTCCTATGCTAGTTTCCCAGCTATCAGTCTGGATTCCATGAGTCATGTCAGCTGTTTTTGTGGGTTTCTCCAGCCTGGTCTTGATCCCTTTACTCATCACTCCTCCCTCTCTGCAACTGGATTCCAGGAGTTTGGCTCAGTGTTTAGCTGTGGGTGTCTGCCTCTGCTTCCATCAACTACTGGCTCTAAGATGGCATATAAGGTAGTCATCGACCTCATTATCAGGGAAGGGCATTTAAGGTAGCCTCTGCACTACTGCTTAGATTGTTAGTTGATGTCACCCTTGTAGATCTCTGGACATTTCCCTAGTGCCAGATTTCTCTTTTAACCTATAATGGCTCCTCTATTATAGTATCTCTTTTCTTGCTCTCCTCTATTCTCCCCCTGACTCAATCTTCCTGCTCCTTCATGTCATCCTCTCCCCTCCTCTTCTCCCCTTCTCTTTCTCCTAACTCCCTCTCCCCTCCTCCCATGTTCCCAAATTTGCTCAGGAGATCTTGTCCCTTTCCCCTTCTCTGGGGGACCATGTATGTCTTTCCTAGGGTCCTCTTCGTTTCCTAGTTTTCCTGGTGGTGTGGATTGTAGGCTGGCAATCCTCTGTTCCATGTCTAAAATCCATATATGAGTGAGTACATATCATGTTTGTCTTTTTGTGACTGGGTTACCTCACTCGGGATGGTTCCCTCTAGTGCCATCCATTTGCCTGCAAATTTCAAGATTCCATTTTTTTGTTTGTTTGTTTTTCCGGTGAGTAGTACTCCATTGTGTAAATGTACCACATTTTTTCTATCCATTCTTCAGCCAAGGGGCATCTAGGTTTCTTCCAGGTTCTGGCTATTCCAAATTATGCTGCTATGAACATAGTGGAACAAACATCCTTGTATGAATGGGCATCTTTTGGGTATTTGCCTAAGAGTGGAATTGCTGGGTCTTGCAGTAGACTGATTCCTATTTTCCTGAGGAATCTCCATACTGATTTCCAAAGTGGCTGCATGAGTTGGCACTCCCACCATCACATCCTCTCCAGCATAAACTGTCATTGGTGCTTTTTATTTTAGCCATTATGACAGGAGTTAAGATGGTATCTCAGAGTTGTTTTGGCTTGCATTTCCCTGATGTCTAAGAATGTTGATCACTTTCTTAAGTGTCTATCAGCCATTTTAGACTCCTCTATTGAGAATTATCTATTTAGTTCTGTACCCCAATTTTTAATTGGATTATTTGATGTTTTGAAACTTTGGATATCAACCCTCTGTTAGATGTGGGGTTGGTGAATATCTTTTCCCATTCTGTGGCATCTTTGTTCAAACAAACCAGCCATCTAGAGAGCCCCTACTTTGAGTGTGGGAATTTCAAAGGCAATCATTCATATTTATTCTACGTTAGCTTATAGTGAGTGCCTTCACACGCACTGCCCATTTCATTCTTATTGCAGAGGTGCTGCTATTGTTTTGTTCTTCAAGACCAGTGATAAGGGGCGTGGGGAGCAGGCTTGGTTGGTAATGTGCTTGCTGGGCAAGCATGTGGGCCTGAGTTTGATCTGCAGCGCTCACACAAAAAGCCAGGGAAGATGGTGTGCCCTTGTAATCTCACACTAGCAGAAACAGGAAGATGCCTGGAGTTTTCTGGAAGGCCAGCCACACTTCATTGGTGAGCTCCAGGTCCAAGCGGCAGACACTGGCTCAAAAAAATGAAGTGAGGTTGGAGAGATGTCTCAGTGAAGTGTCTGACACACAAGCTGAGGGCCTGAATCCACCCAGATCCCCAGAACGCTCAGAAACAAACAAAGAAACAAACAAAATCCAGGTCTAACTGTGTTGCATGGAATGGACAGAGATAGCAGATCCAATGAGCTCTTTGGCTTGTTAGTCTAGATAACCCTGAGTACTACTGGGTTCAGTGAGTGAGAGACCCTGTCTCAAAGATGAAGTTTCAAGAGATTCGGGAAGATGTCTAACATTGTGTTTGGCCTTCACATGAAAACACACACACACACACACAAAGGAGGATGGTTCTTTCTTGAGAAATGACACTTAAGGTTGACCCACACACACATAGACACACACACACACACACACACACACACACACCAGGAATAAGGACCAGCAAAGTCCTGAACTTTGTACAAATGATGGTGTGACATGGGAGCCGTGTTGTGCCGTGCCCTACAAGGACAGTGAGTGTGTTGGGATGTTCAAGGCACTGCACATGGCAGCGCATTTCCTTCCTCATGTGACTCTGTGAGGTAAGGAGCATTTCCACCTCTGTTCAGAAGATGCAAAAGCAGTGCAAAGCCAGCTGGAAAGGGCCAGCCTCTCTGGGGCTCTTAGAGGGTGGGGTGGGGTAGGGCGGGGTGTGCCTGAGCTGAGGAGCTCAGATAAGGACCAGACTGGACTGGATCTCCGTGTCACGTGCGTCATCTAGGAGGGGGGACCAAGCCTGTTCAGAAGGTAGGGAAGGCGTTCTCAAGAAGTCACCAGCATCCTCGTTTTGAGGAAGGAACAGTCTGTGTCTAAGAGCTCTCTGACCCTTGGCACAAGCAAGAGCAGAGGGAAACAATTAGTAGCACAGGTGTTTTCACCCACCATGGAAGCAGGAGTGAGCTAACCCTTACGGTGCGTGGACTACCTACGTCCCGCGTCCCCTTTTCCCCTTTGCCCTTCCCTGTCTCCACTCCCCGTGGCATCTGCTAAACGGAATCTTCTATTCCCGGTAAGCACGGTTTAACGATTGCATCTTTCCGTGCAATCGCCTCCAATAAAACAGCACTGGGAACACGGCATCCGTGGTGTCCCTCCGAGTCTTTGGGCCCCAGTCTCTCTGCGGAAAATTCACACCGCAGACTCGGTCTTGTTTCCTGGACTGCTCTGCTCCCTGCCGCATCACGCCAGGTGTTGAGGAAGGTGGGCCCTGGTGTGCTGGCTGCTCGGGCTCTTTGTGTTGTATGTTCGCTGCAGACTACATCCCTGGCAGGGCCGCTGAATCAGCACCCGGCACAGGGCAGGAAGGGGTGAGGCCTTCCTTTCCTGCCTCCTCCCACCCACAGCCCTTTCCCTTTTCCCTTCCAGCTCCTTCTGAGGCCAGGCACAGGTCAACCGAATACAAAGGAGCGTAAACACTCCTTACAGTGGTCAAGTCACGAAAACAAAACCCCCAAAGGCCAACCTAGAAAAGCATGCACATGTCTGCCCAGGCTTAACAGCCACCAGCAATGAGGACTCTCAATGACCTCCAGTGTAGACCTCATCTCCTGCCTGAATTGTGCACAATACTATCCCTACTAGTTGATGTCAGTACTGCGGCTGGTCCTTAACACACACACATACACACACACACACACACACACACACACACACACACACACAGAGGGGGGATGAGGGGGAGGGAAGGGGGAGGGGGGAGAGATCGTTCTATATGCATCCTTAACCACATGACTTCAAGATTTAATACCTTGAGTAGGGTATGATAGCACACACCTGTAAATTACACACACACACAATTTAGTACCTTTGAATAGCAGGTGAATCCAAATATGTTTAAATACTAAACAAATATTTGGCGTATGTTATTTCCCATAGGTGTGCTGGCTAGTTTTGTGTTGGTTTGACAAAAGCCAGAGTGACTTTGGAAAAGGGAACCTCAACTGAGAAGACGCACCCCCCCTTCCCCGCCGAACTGACACGTGGGCAAGCCTGTGGCACATTTTTGTTCATTGATGTTTGATGTGGGGGGGTGCACAGGTCACTGATCCCATGGGCTGCTGATCCTGCCTGCTGCAAGAGAGCAGGACGAGTGTGCCAACAGGAACAAGGCAGTAAGAGGCATCCATCCCTCCACGGCCTCTGCAACAGTTCCCATCTCCAGGTTCCTGCCTTGAGTTCCTGCCTTGAGTTCCCTGGATGGGGATGGAAATGAAGTCTTTCCTATCCAGGTGGCTTCTGTTCATGTTTTATCACAGCAATAGAAACCCTAATAGGCATTTAAGAACATCTGTGTGACATTATCTAACACATGTAGGGTATGTTTCAAGGGACACAATTCTTTGGTCTCCTGGGGTGTCTGTCCATCTGGCCTTGGACAGAGGAGACTTCTGTGTGAGGACTGAGCTCAGCAAGGCCAGTGGGGATGAAGAAGGCTCTCTGGTGGAGACCAGGTTGGGCAAACCACAAAATCAAACAGGGGATCCTCGTCCCAGCTCACTTCAGGGCAATAATCCCAGTATAGGGTTCCATTCTTTGAGGCCTTTGGGATCCCCCAACCAGCAGTCTGTCTATTTCCTTTCTAAAGCTGCATGGGACAAGCGAGGTTCTTAGAGCTTTAGGCTTGCTAAGGAGCCTGCAGTGAGGCATCCCTGTCGCTGATGGCGGCCTGAATTTCTCTTGTCCAAACAGCAAACAAGGGGGTTGTCAGAGGTGAGGAATCAAGACCATGTCTGCAAAGTGGGCTTGGAAAGATGGGGGCCACTCCCTGCCATTTCAGGTGTAAGAGCTCGGAAACACCCGAGAGTCACTGCTGCCGTAGAGTTTGGCAACGACTTTGCCGCAGTGCTAGTCTCTCCTCCAGGGTGACTGTGGTTAAGATTTTCAGTCCTAGCCGGGCGTGGTAGTGCAGGCTGTAGTCAGTTTCGTCAGTGGACTTGTGATGGGGAAGTCCTGTGTATATGTCAATAAAGCACTGATGGTCAATAGGGAAGCAAGATAGGTGGGACTAGGGGTCCAGGACTCTGGGAAGGAGAAAGACAGGGAGTCATCATGTAGCTGCCATAGTGGTAAGAAGTCCAGACCCTATTCTCCAGTAAGAGAAATACTTAGATTAACAATTATGGAGTAAATACTTAAGTCAGAGCTAGCCAGTAAGAAACAAGCAAGGCCAACAGCTTCGTAATTAATACAGCATCTTGTGTGTTCTTTGGGGACTACAACGTGGCAGAGCCCAGGTGACTGGTGGGGGAAAAACCAAAGCGGCTGTCAAGGAAAAGGCTTCACTCAATAGACTTGCTGTGGTGGCTGCATCCTAGGGTTGTGGCTTCAGGTGTGCAGACATGACCCTTTACAAGGAAGAGGAGGGGTTGGCTCATGCTTTTGGATGGTAGTCGGAGACCCAGAGATCCCAGAGACGGCATCTTCAGGAATAGGAAGACCGCAGTGGATATTTACCGTTCATTGTGGAAGTGCTTCCCTAATAAATACCCGTTAATTATTTATCTGGGTCTTGTGGGCTCCTTTAAACTTGCCTTCAGCAGACCTTTAATCCCAGCACTGGGGAGGCGGAGGCAGGCAGATCTCTGTGAGTTCAAAGCCAGCCTGGTCTATAGATCAGATCGAGCTCCAGGACAGCCAAAGACATACAGAGAAACTCTGTTTCGAACAAAAGACTTCAGTCCTTCTGTGTGGTTGGAACGTGCCATGCGTTTGCACTTCGTCAGGACCCTGAACAAAGTGAATACTCCAGGGATTTTCTCCAAAGGTTATGGATGGGAAATTAGACTCCAACCATGCTGACACACCTTGGACCCTGCCCATGAGCAGAAGGGCATAGAGACTCAGAATGTCTCATGGACAGGACGGCAGGCTAGTGTCCAAACCTGGGGCTGCCTCGCAGGATGTTTCCGGTGAAGAAAAGCCAGCCAGGAGTTCCTGGCAAGTCCAGTACCCCCTTCACGCTGGAAACTCCCAAGATGCTGGGAAACCCCCATGCCGGCACCTGTTCTCTTCCCAGGACGAATTCCCAGGTCCATCGGCATCTTCCATTCGGTGAGGCAGCACCGGGAAATAAATGTTGATAATGTGTGGTTAGGCATCAGAGAATGTGAAATGTGGAGTGAAGCCTTCCCGCCAGTCTGGATCCAGAGCCGCATCAGTCCCAAATGAACACACAGGAGGCTATATTAATTATGAAGCTGTTGGCCTTGCTTGTTTCTTACTGGCTATCTCCGACCTAAGTATTTAATCTCGTAATTGTTAATCAGTATTTCTCTTACCAGAGAAAGGGTCTGGACCTCTTACTCCTATGGCCGCTACATGATGTCTGCCTGTGCCTCTTTCCCAGAATCCTCCTCAATTCCTAGTCCCACCTATCTTGCTTCCCTACTGGCCAACAGTGCTTTATTGACATATACACAGGACTTCCCCATCAGTGAAATGTTCCCCTCATAGGGGTGGGGTGGGGCGGGTGGGCAGCCACAGCTATTTCAACCCTCTTGTGAAAGTACACGTGACAGGAAACCGGAAAGTTCTACTCCAGATGGGTAATTGCGATGGGCTCGGGGAGTGGCCTCAGAGCTCCCTCCGGTGAGAAAGCAGCAGTGACCCTGTGCACACAAAGCTGAACTCAGGGAGCCCTCCTGAATCTTGGAAGACCCAGGTCCTGGAAGAGGGAGGGGTAACTAGGAACTATAGCAGGGGGTAAAACATAGTCCCTGTTCCTCCTTAGCAAACACAAGTCACCATTAGAGAGATAAAACCAAGAAGTAAGTTTTGAGTCCCTGTTACCGACCTCGGCTGGTTCTGCACCATTCATAGGTGGAGGTTTTTATCCTGCCTGTTAACTCCCAAATAACCAACCACAGAGACTTATTAATAATTATAAATGCTTTGGTGATGGCTTAGGCTTGCCACTAACCAGCTCTTTCAACTTAACCCATATTTCTTATCTACACTCTGCCTGCCACGCGGTGGTAACTTTCTTCAGCTGGGCATTTTTATCTCCTGCTTCCTCTGTGTCTGGCTGGTGACTCTGTCCTTCTGCCCAGCATTCTCTCAGTCTGGCTCTCCCTCCTAACCTCCTCCTGCCCAGCTATTTCCTGCCCAGCTATTGGCCAGTCAGCTCTTTATTAGCAACGAGAGCAAAACACCTTTCACAGTGTGCAAAAGGACTATTCCACGGCAACCATCTGCCACGCCGGGTGTGCTTTTCCTGTGCGTGGGAAAACAACAGCTTGTTCTGTTTAGGTCATCGAAATTCCAGCAGCCTCCAGTAGCAGAGACGCGTCCCTGCAGGATACTCAGCAAACCTAGTACCGTAGGAACCTCCCCTGTTTCAAGTAACTTCTGAAGGGAAGTGGACACCACTCCTTGGGGGAGACCTCCAAGAATGGGACCCAACACTGAGACCGCTGCCCTAAAGTCCATTCTGCAACGAGGTCACCGTGGTCAGGACCACAAATTTAGTTTCGAGATTTGTTGACTTGAAAGAAGAGCACAGGGTTGGTTCTCTCTCCTGTTGAAGCTAGTTCCTCTAGGCCCCCCTTCTAACCGGAACCAGAGGACATCAGGTAGGACCCTTTCCAACTGACACTGGCCTCTCCTCCTCTTCCTCCCAAATCTGGAGCTCAGGGCTGTCCACTCTTGTCTCCCGCACAGATGATTCTGGGAGAAGCCTGTGTGGGAGACCCCAAGCCGGAGGTGACAATGTGACCAGGGTTAAGACCTTAAAGTAAACACCTGTCTCTGCTCCCAACTGCTGTGTCACAGAACACTGTCCCTTGTCCAGCCCTCCCATTTCTCCTTGTGTAGATGAGCTAATAACTCCCGGTGACTTTCAATTTAACTAAGGAAACGCTTCTTCAGATCATTGTACCTTTTCTCACGTAAAGACAAGTACGCCGCACAGACACAGTCCATTAGCAGCTGCAAAGCTAATGTGACCTGCCAGTGGTCTACGGCAGAGGTAGGTTCTCAACCGTGGGTCATGGCCATTTTGGGTGTGGAACAACCCTTTCACAGGGGGTCACCTAAGACTATCAGAAAAGACGTTTATGTAACAATTCCTAACAGTGGCACATTTACAGCTACGAAGTACCAGTGAAAATAGGTTTATGATTGCGGGGTGGGGAGGAAAGGTCACCGCAACATGAAGAATTTATTAAAGGGTTGCAGCATTGGGAAGGTTGGGAAACACTGGTCTAAGGCAAAGGGAAGTCCATTGAGAAGAGTCTTGGGAGACTGAATTAGTCAGTTAGGATAAATTCTGCCGAGTGACAAGCAGCTGCCAAGTCTTGGTGGTTTCTAATGGGCAGCGCTGTCTGCTTTTCTAAAGGTGTTCCTGAGTTGGAGCTCCGTCTATTTTTGCCTTAGCTCTAAGACCCAGGCTAGACATTTTCCTCCGGGGTGGTGTGGAGCTCCTTGTGGTACAGTCGCTGCGGAAAACGCCGTTTCCTGCAAAACTTAGGCTACACCTTCACTCCTGCTCTTCACCAGACTGAACAAGACCCCTGGGCATTCCAGAGCTCAACACGGCGAGGCATATTAACACTCCCGTGGGGGGAGGGGGATGCCACATGCCACAGGCCATCTTGAGTTTTGACAAGCGGGACGCTGAGTGTGTCAGGGAATGATGCAGAAGGCCTGAAACACTGACAGAGCCCACAGTGCTGGCAGACAGCCGTCCCACTGAGCACCGTCATCAGAGTCCTCCCACTGAGCACCACCATCAGACTCCTCCCACTGAGCACCATTAGAGGAGTCCTCCCACTGAGCACTGTCATCGGAGTCCTCCCACTGAGCACCATCAGAGTCCTTCCACTGAGTCGGAGTCGTCCCCTTGAGCACTGTCATTGGAGTCCTCCCACTGAGCACCATCAGAGTCCTCCCACTGAGCACCTTCAGAGGAGTCCTCCAGGGCTCCACCCATCAGCTCCTCCACCCCGGCATAGGACTCACTAGGCCTGGTAATTCTCTTTATCCCCAGTTCTACTCTAGTCTGGGTGGCAGCAGTGTCTGTGGGATTCTCCAAGGCTCAGATTTCGATCCCTGGTGTGATTCCAGCGGGTGGTGTTTCGTCTCTGCCGTGCTTGGGTGCAGTAGCCGGGTAGGCCACTGGGTTTTCCTTAGCTCTTCACCTACCTGCAGCTCTTTCGGCGAGGAAACCTGAGTTCTAGACCGAGCACCAGATGGCGCTGGAACCCAGGCCACAGGCACGCAAGGAAGAAGAGTCCAGGCACAAGCGGTGATGTTTAACATAGTCTTATATTTGGAAAAGCAGGTTAAAAAAGAAACACTTGAAAATACAAGATAAGGTAATGGTTACTTATGTAAGTTTTAACCTTATATTGCTTGGCCATTTTTTTTACATATAAATTATTGCTTCCTACTTTGATAAATACACAGCACAGTCATATACACAGAGGCAGAGAGCGTGAACCGTGAGAAAGCAAACACTATCAATGGCAGTCTGGTAACTCAACAAACGCTTCATATTTACCAGCGCTTCTTAGAACGGTGGAAAACTACGAGGTGTAGTCCCTGAGAAGTTAGGTAGACGCCCGGATCGTGGGCTTTCTATCTTCTAATTGTTATCGCAAGCTGACAATGTCACAGCAGTCCTAAGCAACGGGACACCCAAAGGCAAGAAGAGTCCTTGCTTCTGGTCATTGATTTCAGCCTGGTATTTAACAACAGTGTAATACTAGTACAATAAATAGGCTATGCAAATAAATATTACTCTGCTAAAAATGCTTAGTATATATACAGCTTTGCTTTATACAGTAGTAACATTTCATCTGACTTTTTTTTTTTGGCAATTTTATTTTTCTTCAAAATGCGTTTTCTCTAGAGCAAAACCGGCCCACTCAGGCATGAGCAGGCTGAAATTTCAAGGACACGTCTTTGAAGTTGAGAAGAAATCCTATGCTGGACAGCTGCCGTGGCTCTTGTCTTCCAAACAGCATTGATTTTTTTCTTTTTTGCGTAATTCTGAAAAGCTTGGGTGGGTGGGGCCATTTAGTGCAGGACTGATGGTGCATGTCCTGCCTGTGGCAAAACCACGGGGCTGGGACTTAGGCAGCGCCAAGGGTTAGCCAGCTCCAGGCCCAGAAGTCTACCCAATCAACCACCTGTCTTTACCACTTACCCTTCACCCAGGTGAGTGAGTGTGCAACTAGGAGATTCCTCCCTGCAAACTATGTGTGGGGTTTTAGTCTCATGCCTTTTAACTGCAGGGTATGTGCCAAGCTACTTGCTTGTAGACACTGGAGCAGGAGAAGGAATTTATTCCCAACGCAATTAAGGAGACTATAAAAAAAAAAAAACCAGTGAATGTGGGCTATACTGTGTGCTACTCTAACCGTTTGGCAACTACGTAGACTGCAAGTGGGTCTCAAACCTGCAGGCTATGGAGCGTCTGCAAATGTGCGTGCAAATTCCTTTAAAACATTTGGGAAGCCGGCGACTTTCCCTAGATGAACTCTTGTGCCTCCCGCCTCCTGAGCTAACTGGCTCATGGGGCTGCTTTTGCAGGAACGGGATCCAAGAACCCACAGGCGCCCCCTAGAGGGCTGTGCTCTTAAAAACAGGTCTAGACATCACTCAACTGGGGAAGACCCCAATTATACAGTGCTTAAGGAGGTAGGGGGTTGGAGATCTATGTCGTCATGAGAACGCAAGGGGGAGTTGGAATAGAGACCCTGGACGTCTCCTGGTCCACCTGCAGCAATACTGATTCTGGGGAGGCCCCGAGGAAGGCTGTGGAGAAGGAACCGGGTCATCCCGGGCATGGGGGGTGCTGCGGATCCCTCTGCACACTTCCACAGTGCTCAGCTGCCTTAGTAAGAGTTCCCTGCAGGACACACAGGGTCTGTGACAATTCCGGAACTTTCATTCATTCATTCATTCGGATTTAAGGTTCTTCTGCGAAGCTCCTGAGGTCCCTAAGTCGGCTGCCTGAGAGAGCCCTAGAAGCAGGCATTAAGGCTGAAGAAGATTCAGAGATTTTTTTTTTTAGATATCCGGGAGACAGAAAGGGGAGAAACAAATTGCACCTGGCTTTCGCTTGGGGGAAGAGCAGCCTCACCCAGGCTCTCCTGGCCTGTTCCCATTCATCTCCTGCAGGGTTTTCTAAGTGTGCCCGGCACAGAGGCAGGCAAGGCTGGCTGGCTTGGCTGGCTTGCGTAAGCCCAGCTGAGCTGGGGCCTTGACAGGCGTGTGTTCCACCAAAACGGATCTCTAGCTGCAGTGAGTTCTAAAGGTAAAGGTTCCGCTTTGGAGCTGATGTCAAAACATCAAGTCAGAGCGTAGGACGGTATCAAACGGCCCAGTGTGGTTTCGACCAGCCCAATTCCCGGTGGCTAGCTTGGAGGGAAGACACGAGTGTTTGTGCTGTTGTGAGTCTGTGTTGCTCTCTCAGACACTGCCAAGGGTTTTGTGAGTGCTTGTGCACGGGGACTCATCAAGAAAGCCTGCTTTTCGTCCCCCCGACCCTGGTCTCAACTACTGGCTCTCACAGTCCTCAGTGAGCCACAGTGTTTTCTACGGCACCCTGTAAGCTTCCGGGGCTGAAAATTTATGCACCGGACCAGATAGGATCTCTTTGAAAGCTCTACCCCCCTAATTTTTTCCCCCATATGGTTCCTCCTAGAGGTCTCTCAGGCTCACCGTGGCCCCAAGACCAGGAAACAGCACAGCTGTCAAAGGAGTCAAGAGAGAAATCGGCAGACCTTAGACCTGAGTCGTGAGAGTTCTCGAAGTGCTGAAGAGAGCCGTAAGCCGGTCTGTGTTGGTGCTCGCCAGCCAGCCCCTTCAGGGGTGTGAGGAACACACCCATACCCACGGCTGGGAATACAGGGGTCTAATACATCAGACGGGAACTTGCGCACTGAAGTGAACAGCTACGGGGAGGGCAGGCAGGTCTGGCCACAAGCTCTTTGCTTACTCAAGGGATCAGGAAAATCTCTCGCCAGTCCTTGAGGATCCCCAAGAGGTCTTATTTGGTACACGAGGCCCGATTTGTATAAAACAAAGAATGAAAGGAAAAAGGCAAATTGCAGAAAGACTCTGGCTTTGCTTGGGAAGTGGACTACGGGGCTCCCGACGACTCTCCAACTCCGTCAGATCTTAGGCATTTCTGGATTCCTCTCAATTGCCGAGAGACCGTTAAGCCCAACCGCTAAGCTCTATGTGTTCAGCTTTGCTCTCCCTCCCCCCACCGATGGACATTCTGAATTCTGAGGGCAGGGAACCTGGTGGAGTTTGTGCCAGACACCAAGGCTGCATCAGGCACAGCTCCGTGACCCCAGTAAGTGGACACCGAGCACCCACGATCTTGGCCCCGTGGTTTTTCCCAAAAATCATGTTGCGCTCGATAACGGCAGCAGCAACAACAACAAAAAAATGTGAGGTCAGTTCCCAGGAATTGAATGATGCCACGCTCCTCATTGGATGAGAAACTCAGTCTGCCTTGCCTTCGGGAGTGCATCAGTGGTATAGAAACTAGTTGCATCTGTGCTTGTGTCGGTAAGTGATTGTGGATGCAAAGGAGAGTGTGCAAGGCATCTCTTAGTTGCACAGCAGGACGCGCCTGCCAGGGTGATGCCCAGTTTCTAGCTGTAGAGGCCTCTCCCAGGCCCGGGCCATCTGGAGATGCTCTCACTGTCTTCAGGCATTCTCCATCTCTTTGTGGCCCATAGGCAGCAAGGTGAGGCAGGCAGAGTGGTGGTCCTTCCTGCACAATCTTACTGAAAAGACGAAATAAAACAAACAAACAAAAAAAAACTGGCTGCTGTACATCCAGGCGTGTCTTCTCTTAATGCGGTCACACCGCAAGCAGAGACTCGGACCAGACTGAAATCACCATCACGAGAGAGACCCTACTCCCAGGATGCTCTGGCTCTTCCCATCTTCTCACTGACAGCAGAGGTGGGCAGGAGAGGGGCATTCCCCTGCCTCAGGTGGCTGACACCACTTCCCAAGCTTGCTTTGGGCTGGCTTTCCTGCACCTGGCTGTGCTGATAAAACTCAACAACCTCTTTTCCTCACAGGGAGCAACCCTTGCTGACGTGGAGACCTTCCCTTCACTCTCAGTCCCAGGACAGATCGGCACGGCTCACGCCCGGGGCTCCAGCCTGTGAGAGAGCTCGAACAGGGCCTGCTGGCTGTCGATGACGTACAGGTGGCTGACATAGGACCTCAGCTCTTGCTGCTCCTTTGGAGACATGTCGCTTCCTAGTTTTCAGAGGGAGGGGGTGGAGAACAAGTGATCAGTGTCATGGGGACAGTTGTGGCCTCGCTACTTTTAAGCGCAGTAAAGCCCATGCAAGGGTTTAAAGTAGGTTAGTGCGAGAAGCAGCGTCCTTGTCCCCAGAGATGGACAACTTCAGATCAGGCAGGCTGGCTGGCAAGGCATCCCTCCACACCTAGCACACGACTTGGATGGCACACTGTCACCCTTCACAGGGGTTCGCCGTGCAGTCCTGGCACTGGCTCCACAGGCCAGGCCAACCTTGAACTCACAGAGATCCGCCTGACTCTGCCTCTCTGCCTCCCGAGTGCAAGTCCTTAGGCACCCGTGTGTGACTGGTACATCTCTGTTAGGAACCAGCGTCTGAACTCAACAGCTTTACTTACTAGATTATTTATTCATGTTTGCTTCTTTCTATTTTAGGTTTCTGTGTACTTCTTTGGTGTCCTTATTTTTGGGAGAGGAAAAACAAAACAAAAAACCCCACAAAGAATAGGTACCACAGGAAAAAAGTGGGTTCACAAAATATACACAGGGGTGAAAGAGTACCCAGGAGGATTAAGGCGATCCAGAGAGGTAAAAGAATATAAAGACCACATGACAGACCGCAGTGAGCTGTGACTATGAGCACGCACTCGGGGACCACGCTCACGATGGTCCTAAGATAAGGTGCACGGACAATGGGGCAAGCCCAATACCACAGGAAAAAAAAAAGAAACAAACAAAGAAAAAGAACCCACATAGAGAAGAGGAGGGCTGACCGTCAGGGCCACGGTGAGTCTCCAAGCAAGTGGGCTAGAAAAGGAGCATTTACTGCAGCACTTCTGGGAAAAGTAGTGTCTCCCTCTCCTATGACAAATATGTTTAGTAAGAAGATAATTTAAGAGCCGTCCGTCTATCACAGGCGGCTTCTAACACTTGAGCTTCCCGGCCTCAGCATATAAACACTGGAAGTTCAGCATCATCACCGTGACCGGTAAGCTATAATTCTAGGATGTCTTTCTGGACGACACTGGGAAACCACTTCTAGTTAGGTGTGGGCTGGCTGGCTGTACAGATAAGTTTGTCAATAGCAAGCATTCAAAAAAAGTTGTCACAATGAACGGTCCTAACAATCATGTGGAGGACACTTGAGTAGAGCCCCATAGTTGACAACTGTTTGGAGTGACGTTTTTTTACTTTATCCCACACACTGACATTGGCTAATGAGGCCCGTAGGAAGAAATTGTTAAAAGGAGGTCAGGTAATTTAGTCACAGCCTAATTTTAAGAACGCACACCTGACAGCTAAGTTTCTCCTTTAATTTGGGACATGCAGGGTCCTCTGGTGAGTGGGAGGTTCAAGCCCCGTCAGCCATGTCGGCACGACCCTCTTTGCCCTTACGGAGAACACACACAAGCCAGTGTTCCGTGGTAAATCACACTGGCAGTTTTAGAGTTAGCTGAATATTTGGCGGTCACTTTGGAAGCAAAGGCCAATGGGAGAAATATGAACGCGTATACCCATCAGTGACACAATGCTGGGCATGCGAAGGACCCTTTGTGGCAACAGTATCGCTCTTTCTATTAAGGCTGCACTTTGTGGCAACAGTATCGCTCTTTCTATTAAGGCTGCACTTTGTGGCAACAGTATCGCTCTTTCTATTAAGGCTGCCTTGGGCTTGTGGGCATGATGAAAACATATGTACATATAAAGTACATATCAAGCAAGGTATTAACTGAAGTGGATATTTAAGAGAATTAGGTCCTGTGCTTCAGAATTCCCCTTTTCCACTTTGTAGTACACACAGGAGGAGGTTCGGTTCCCAGGTGGATTTTGCTGGGGGATACTATTGACGGCCACGCGCAACACATGATAGAAATAGAAAACAATAGGAGTGCTTTCTTTGGTTTGGGGGGCCGGGGCCGGGGCGGTGCTCCAACTCTCTATGTATGCGGTATTTCTGAAACAAACCGTAACGGAGATGTGTTACCTAAGGTCCATTTCTACCAGGTTGCTCAGCTTTGACGGATAACCATCCAACTGTGCTTATTTACTTTATTTCATGCATATGCGTGAGTGCCTGAGTATATGTACGTGTACCATATGCACGCAAGAGCCCCCAGACATCGGCAGAGGCATCAGATCCCCTTGATGTGGAGTTACAGATGGCTGTGAGTTACCATGTGCATGCTGGGAATCGGACCATGGCCCTCTGCAAGAGCAGCAAGGATTCTTAACTTCCGAAAGCATCTCTCCAGTTCCCTCCTCCCTCCTTTCCTTTCCCCCTCCCTTCTCTCTCTATCTCTCCAGAGTTTCTCTGTGTAACTGCCCTGGCTGTCCTGGAACTCACTCTGTAGACCAGGCTGGCCTCGAACTCACAGAGTTCTGCCTGCCTCTGCCTCCTGAGTGCTGGGATTAAAGGAGTGCACCATCATCACCCAGCTCTCTCTCTTCTCTCTCTCTCTCTCTCTCTCTCTCTCTCCCCTCTCTCTCTCTTTCTCCCTCCCTCCCTCTCAAAATTCCTATTTATATCTGTAGAATCAGCACAGGGCAAAGCATTGGGTTGGGCCAGGAAGTCGGGACTGCATGAGCTAGCTTCCCTGAGCCTTGGTTGTGGGTTCTGCACCTACAGGACTAAGGATGCCCGTTCACTAGGACGGGGAGGATAAAGATGCCTGTTCCACTAGGACGGGGAGGATAAGGATGCCTGTTCCACTAGGACGGGGAGGATAAGGATGCCCGTTCACTAGGACAGGGAGGATAAGGATGCCTGTTCACTAGAACGGGGAGGATAAGGATGCTCGTTTCACTAGGACAAGCAGGACTCTGCAAGCCCAGGTAAAGCTCCTGCTGCCCAGTAAAGGCAATTTCCTCCGTTCCTGCAAAATGCTAATGCCATTTAAACACAGGGTAGACACGCCTGAGATTCAATATGGAAAAAAAATATCCCTGCATATGTAGTCTCAGAGGGAATCTTCAAACGTGCTCAGAAGAAAACAAACAAACAAACAACAACTTTTTCGGCGGATAAAAGGAAGTTTGGGTCGAAGAGAAGAAAAACCCTGGAAGGCTACTTCAGGCACCCTAATAAACCACACATCCGTTCCAGGAAGGTCTCCCAGCAAGGATACTAGAGGCAGGGTCATGCCGCTGAACTCATCAGTAAATCTGAGGGGGGCTAGGCAGACAAACGCGGGAAGGGAGTCGGGCGGGTGGGCGAACTTCCATCCGTCCGTCCGGACGTCCGCCCCAAGTCAATCAGGACAGCACAGGTGTGCTTGCACAAGGGGGGGGGCAGTGACCTGCTTGCTACACCTTCCTACACCTTGCTGCCTTACTCTCCATTCCCAGCATGCAGTGAGGGGACACAATAAAAAAACCCTAGAGTGTAAGTAAAGCGTTCACAGCGACACATGCATGCCATGACCCCCTTTACATTTGGGGCCACTGACTGCGTCATAAATCCCAGTCCATCACGACGACCTACCGAGAAGTCAGTAGGCATTCCGCCCCAGCTTCGACTACTCACCAAACTGGTTAGTTCTGCAGTGCCTCAGGGTTCGGACGGTGTCTGCGATCATGTGCTGAAAGACAGAAGAGGGAGGACAGCAACGGGAGGGTCACTCACTGGAGCAGCAGCACCTTCAGGGGAGCCCAACCCTCTGGGTGCAAGAGAGGAGAGCTGGCCTAGAACTCCCAATCTTCCTGTGTTGGGCTCCTGAGTAGCTGGGGTTACACAGACCTACACCACCAGGTTTGGACAAGATCCCTTCATCTCATACCTGTGTCCCCTACAATAATCCTTTAGATCGCTCTGCCGTGTTCACTTTTCCACAATGTTGGGAAACAGCGTCTTTGGAAGAACTAACCTCCACTATGGATAGTTCCCTTTGTACGGCGGCCAGAATATTATAACAACAGTTGTCACAGTAGGGCCTATCCTCAGGAGAATGCCAGGAACTCCTTACTTCATTTTAAATCAGTATCCAAATATCCCATTATTCAATGATCAACACCATTCATTATCTGGTCTTCCAAGCACCGTCTTCACAGCCTGCCTGCACAGGCCAGACACAGGAGCATCCACAGATGACAGACGGTGAGTTATTGCTAAGAGAATAATGCTAACGCTAAAACCTTCTCACTTAAGATCCAGTGGAATGACAGAAACGCTATTTGAATCTGAAAGTCTGATTAAATTAACCCAGGCTACCGACAGCTTGGCTTATTTGATGCTCCTCCGTGGTGGAGAATTCACCATGGGGCAGTCAGAGGGCACTTGAAGGGGAAATGAGACCTGACTCACGTCTGTGTGAACGTTTTGTTACACTTCCTTCCCCAAATTCTACCCCAATTCCCGGGACAGATTTTCCGTTGTTTCAGTCTGTGGTGTCACGGCAATTCTTACCCTGCGCAGTTCCCAGAAAAGGCTGGGGCTGACATAAGATCTGAGAGATCTGAGTCCCTATTCCCATCTCTGGGTTTTCTGACCAAACAGGAGGCAGACACAGTCAAAGCTCATGCTTGCAATATCGGGGGAAGGAAAGAAAAGGATAGGACCCTCCGCTCCTTCAACGTCTCATGGTTCGAGGTGGAAACATTTAAAGCTGCTGAGGCAGCAAGGGACTTAGCCCAGGGAACAATGGGAATCTTACTGCACTCACGGAATGCTCCTGGATCTGCATGTGGTCTGATTTAATGTGCTGGCCCGCGTCAGCCAGATGAAGATAACACCCTGAGTTATCTGCTGACTCGCTCAAGTTAACATCCACCTCGAGGAACCGATTGCTCGTAAGCTAATTCACATAGGTCCCATTGGTTCATGACTGTGAAATATGATCCTCTATTTTAGCTTCAGTGCTAAGAGACACTCTCTAAAAATACTGTCTCTACGAAGGCTCTCCTGCTCCTGACTGGAACACAGGCTTGAATATGATATGAAATTGATTTTTTTTTTGTCTTTCTAAAAAAAAAGTTCTTTTTCCAATCTGTGGGGGGCCTTTTTGTCTTGCTGTGTCCTTTGCCTTACAGAAGCTTCTCAGTTTCAGGAGGTCCCATTTATTAATTGCCGATCTCAGTGTCTGTGCTACTGGTGTTATGCTCAGGAAGTGGTCTCCTGTACCAATTCGTTCAAGGGTGCCTCCCACTTTCTCTTCTAACAGGTTCAGTGTGGCTGGATTTATGTTGAGGTTTTTGATCCATTTGGACTTAAGTTTTGTGCATGGCCATAGATATGGGTCTATCTGCAGTCTTCTACATGCCAGCATCCAGTTATGCCAGCACCATTTGTTGAAGATACTATCTTTTTCCCATTGTATAAGTTTAGCTTCTTTGTCGAAAATCAGGTGTTCATAAGTTTGTGGATTAATCTCTACCTGTCTATTTATGTGCTGATACCAGGCTGTTTTTAGGACTATAGCTCTATAATAGAGCTTGAAGTCAAGGATGGTGATGCCTCCAGACGTTGCTTTGTTGAGCAGAGTTGTCATGGCTATCCTAGGTTTTTTAATTTCACATCTGACAGAGGGCTGATCTCCAAAATTTACAAAGAACTCAAGAAGCAAGTCTCCAAAACACCAAAGGATCCAATTAAAAAGTGGGGGACTGAACTAAATAGAGAATTCTCAATAAAGGAGTCTAAAATTTCTGAGAGACACTTAAGAAAGTGATCAACATCCTTAGCCATTAGGGAAATGCAAATCAAAACAACATTTTACTTCTGTCAGAATGGCTAAAATCAAAAACACCAATGACAGTTTATGTTGGAGAGGATGTGGAAAAAGGGGAATACTCGTCCATTGCTGGTGGGAGTGCCAACTTGTACAGTCACTTTGGAAATCAGTATGGAGATTACTCAGGAAAATGGGAATCAGTCTACCACAAGACTCAGCAATTCTACTCTTAAGCATATACCCAAAAGATTCCCATTCACACAACAAGAATTCCTGTTCCATTATGTTCATAGCAGCATTATATGTAATAGCTAGATACTGGAAGCAACCTAGATGCCCCTCACCTAAAGAGTGGATAGAGAAAATGTGGTACATTTACACACTGGAGTACTACTCAGAGGAAAGAAAAAACAAAGGAATCTTGAAATTTGCAGGCAAATGCATGGCACTAGAAGAAATCATCCCGAGTGAGGTAACCCAGTCACAAAAAGACAAACATGGTATGTACTCACTCATACATAGATTTTAGATATGGATCAGGGGAGTGTCAGGCTACAATCCCAGTGTCAGTGAGTCTGGGAAACAGGGATGTTCCTAAGAGAGATGCATGATACCCCAGAGAAGTGGAATGAGGCAAGATCTCCTGAGCAGATTAGGAACATTGGGGGAGGGGAGAGGGGACAAGGAAAAAGAGAGGGGGATAAGAGGAGGGGAGAAGAAGGCATGAGGGAGCAGGAAGGTTGAATTGAGATAAGAATAGAGGAGAGCAGGATGAGAAATGCCATAATAGATCAAGTCATTATAGGTTTGAGGAGAGGGCTGACACTAGTGAGATCTCCAGCGATCTACAAGGATAACACCAACTGGCAAACTAAACAATAGTGGAGAGACTACATTAATGGCCCCTCCCTGATGATAAGATTGATGACTACCTTATATGCCACCCTAGAACCTTCATCCAGTGACTGATGGAAGCAGAGACAGATACCCACAGCTAAACACTGAACTGAACTTCTGGAACCCAGTAACAGAGATGGAGGAGTGATGAGCAAAGGGGTCATGACCGTGCTGGTAAAACCCACAAAGACAGCTGACCGGATAAGGGGGAGCTCTTGAAGCCCAGACTGATGCCTGAGAGGCCAACAGGGGACTTATCCAGACTCCATGAATGTAGCATCAGTAAGGAGGCCTCAGAAATCTCTGGGGCCTTGGGTAGTAGATCATCAGTGTTTACCATGGCACACCAATGAACTCTGGGAGCCCATTCTACATTTCTACATGGAGGGATGGTCTCTCAACCTGGACACATGGGGAAGGGCTTAGGTCCTGCCCTGGATGAAATGACAGGTTCTGGAGATCCCCACAAGGAGGGCCTCACCCTCCCTGGGGAGTGATGAGGGGATTGGGTGGGAGGCTGGGGAACAAGGGAGGAGGGGTGGGAGAGGGAGCTGGGATTGACATGTCAAGCATGCATGTTTCTAATTTAAACAGAAACATATATTGAGATATCCCAGGCCTTTTTTATATCATTTCTAAAGAGAAGAAACTATAGTAATGGTGGCCGGGTCCTCAAACCACTTGAAGAGGGTAGAAACAGTGGTCAGAAACATCCCATGATGCTTTCCATTAGAGCCTGTATGGAACCGTTATTTCATTGCTGATCTGAGGAGAAACCACACAAGGAACGTAGCCGCTATTCTCTTTAGGGGAAAGGAGTACAGTGACTTTCCTGCATCCCCACGAACACTTCCAGGCTGGTGGCATGCTATGTCCCCGGATCTTCACACAAGCCCTACAGCGCTCTTTTGGTGATTTGAAACAGACAACATGGGGCAGGAGACAAAGTAAATCATGACTGACAGCTTCGTATCCCTGTGGTCATTTGTAAGTACCAAACACTTAGGCTGAGAATTCTGGTGACTGAGACTTTGCCTGCTAACGGGAACACTGGTTGGGGGGATTCTGGGGGGGGATCACAGAACAATATAAAACAATTGAAAAAAATCCCTACACATTCCCACTAACTGCCATGTGGGCTTCACTGCAGCAGGCAAAACAACTGAGCTCTGATTCTAAAACATGCAGGACAGAGAGAGAGAGAGAGAGAGAGAGGGAGGGAGGGAGGGAGGGAGGGAGGGAGAAGCCATGAAGTTTACATACCAGCTTTTCAAAATTGACGAGATTATCCAGGAACGTTTTATTTCCTTCATGAATAAATGTTACATCTGCAAGTTAAAAAAAAAAGATAAAATACACTATTAGGAAGAAATTGTGAAGCAACAAAATTGCTCAGGAACAATGCAGTCTATGCTTTTTTTTTTTTTTTTTCTTAAGCATGTTTGACAAGGTGATTTGAAACTGAACCTATATAACATCTGATATAAGAGTGTAGAGGGTCTCCGTGCTCTCATGAGGTCAGGTCAACTATTTCTGTGGGTTTCTCTAGCACAGTCTTGGCTCCCTTGCTCATCGTCTCTCCTCCCTCTTCGCAACTGGATTCCGGGAGATTGGCTCCAGCCGTGGGTGCCTATTTCTGCTTCCATCAGCTACTGGGCGAAGGCTCTAGGGGTGGTAACCAAGTCATGGGCATCAAAGTCAGCCTCTCCAGTCGTAAAGCTGGGGAACCAGCACTGGACTGAACCAAGCCCTCTGAGCGTGGGTGCCAGCTAGGAGGCCTGGGCAGTCTAAGGGACCTCTAACAGTGAAGCCAGGGTTTATCCCTAGATCACAAATGGACTGTGGGAGCCCATTCCCTATGGAGGGTTACTATTGCAGCCCAGATATGGAAAGGAGGGCCTGGGCCCTCCCCCAAATGATGTGACGAACTTTGATAATCTCCCATGGAGGGCCTCACTATCCCTGGGGAGTGGGTGGGGCGGTGGGTAGGGGGGGTCGGTGGGAAGTAAGGGAGGTCGAGAGAATGGGGGGATGGAAACATAAATAAGATTGTTCTTTAAAAAAAGTGTATAGGGTGGCGTAGCTTTCCTGAACTAGTTTACATTCATGGAGAAGAAGAGCCGGTTTTAAATTGTGCGACACCAAGTGCAATTTTTGTAATTTAATTGGTCCATTGTGACTTCAGGCCAAAAGACTGACCAGAAAATAACTGAATATTCACAAGCGACAGGGACTTAATGTCTATATATTTGCATTAGAAAAAAAAATCCCTCTTAGCCGGTGTAAATGGGACTTGCTTTAGTGAAAACGGTCTAGATTCAGCTTTTCCAAGTTTACATTAAAAATCATGGAGAAATTAAAAGAGTTGGGCTGCCAAAGCCTGTGTATCAGTATCACGAGTGATTTGCCTGGCAGAGAGGCAGCATGGCTGATGAAGATAAAACAGGGAAGGTAAATTTGGTTTGAGACTCGCTAGATTTAAAGCGGCCAAGGATCTGGGGTCCAGTTCAGTGGCCATGCCTGTGTTTAGTAGTGAGGGCCTGGGTTTTTCCCACTGCCCCAAAGAAACAAACAAAAAACAATAGACAACAACAACAAAACCGAAATTTTAAAAAAAAAACCTTCACTTTTGGCAAAGAGGGACTCCTCAAGAGATAAAGGTTTCACTAAAGCAAGTCCCACTTACACTGGCTAATGCAAATATATAGACATTAAGTGTGAGTGAGTGTGCGTGCAAGTATGAGTGTGTGTATGAGTGTGTGCATGTATGAGAGAGTATGCGTATGTGAGTATAAGTGTGTGAGTGTGTCTGTGTGTGCAAGTATGAGTGTGTGTGTGAGAGAGAGTATGAATGAGTATGAGTATGTGTGAGAGAGCATGAGTATGTGAGTGTAAGTGTGTGAGCATCTGTGAGTATGTGTGTCTGTGTGTGCAAGTATGAGTGTGTGTGTGTGAGAGAGAGTATGAATGAGTATGAGTATGTGTGAGAGAGTATGAGTATGTGAGTATAAGTGTGAGTGTGTGTGCAAGTATGAGTGTGTGTATGTGTGAGAGAGTATGAGTGAGTTTGTATGAGACAGAGCATGAATGAGTATGTGAGTATAAGTGTGTGAGTGTGAGTGAGAGTGTGTGCAAGTATGAGTGTGTGAGTGTGTGAGGGTATGTGTGAGTGTGTGTGAGTACGTGCACACGTGTGTCTCAAGCTACTGTGGACTGGTGAACAGGAAGCTGGGGAGGTGACGAAGGGGCAGAGCCTGGCATGAGGGGAAGGAAGGCTTTAGCAGCTGAAGGAGCTACTATTACCACAGGAACCATGGGAGGTCTAACCCCTCCAGCTCACACAGGTCCCGAGTTCACCCTCTTCCCATCTTCTAAATGAAAGCAATTGAAATAGAAGTCAGAGGGAGGCCCGTCATTAAATATTCTACTGGTTACCCTAAAATAGTTCAAATAGCCATTCAATCAAAACACCCGAAAATTAAAGTTGCTTATTTCAAAAGTGCCCAGTGGTAGGCGTGATACACATTATTATGTTTTTCTTTCCTTTTTGAAGACGGGGTTTCATGTAGGCAGGTCTCCAAGTAGGTCTAGACCTGGGGATGACCTTGAACTCCTGATCTACCTAGTCATACCTCTGGAGTGCTTGGATTTTTTTTTAGGCCTGCACCACCATGACAGGCTTATGCACTGCTGAGGACTGAATGCCTCCTGTGTGCGAGGCCAGCACCCTACCAACTGAGCTACACCCTCAACCATCATCTTATTTTTCTTTGGAAACTATCCCAGATAAGAGTGAAAGCTTTAAATTAAAGGTATTAATACCGACAAAAGAAAAAAAAATAAGTGCTTATTTAAACCCAGAAAGGTTTCTGGTGTAAAGAAAAGACGTGTTTAATCGTCAACTGCTTCTTCTGGAATGGGCGAATGTAGCTTCAACGGAGGAAGTTTGTTTTGCTGCCACCGAGAGGTCCAGACTCATCAGGGCAGAAGTCTGCATACATGCTCAGGTGAGCGTGTTCCTGCGTGAGGTGTCAGAAGCAGCTAAGGAGCAGGAGGACCGCTCCTTTCCAGGATAAAGGGACACTGTGATTGGAGACAGCGTCGTACAGGCATTTATTGTTTCAAGGTTCCCTTATTCAATTCAATCCCCTCCCCACATGTCTTTCTCATCTTCTACGGTTCCCCTTTGTGCTTAAGCAATTCCAAGAGCTACTTCCCACCAGTCACCGCTGGCCCTCAGCCGTGCTTTGAAACCGTATCCGTGGCCCTGCATAAACATGCCAACTCGAGTAAGTACAGAAAGGAAGAAGGCAAATAAACCTCTCAACTATAATTTTGGCATTTCAGTCTCTCCTTCCTTGACCCACTTGTCTTGAGCAGGTTCCCCAGCCCGCACACAACGTACGCTGTGTGCCTTTCAATCGTCCTAACAGCATTTCCTTGTTTGACAGCCGTTCTAGCTCCACGCGGGATGAGGGCTAACACGTGCCTTTCAGAGAGGAACAGACACCCTAGTCCTCCGGGACAGGCAGAAGAGGGAATGCCAGCTTATCTGTCAGCTGGGATGGAAGGGGGAGGGGGAGTCAGGGAGGATGGCCAGGCCACGTCAGCCAGCAATGCAACTCCTCTCCAGAATCACTTAAGAGGCCGGTCAATGGAGCCTGATTCTGCAGACATTATCTCTGAGAGGCAGAGGTCGGATGAGGGCGTCTGTCTACAAACCCCCCCAAAGCAAGTGAAATGTGGCCAAGGAACATTTCCCCCAACTCCTTTTCCCTGGGGTACGCGTAAGGTCAGGGGTTCAGGCCAGATTCTATAGTCTTCCCTCCCACCGATGCCCCGTCTGACAGATTACTGAGATGTCAGCAAGTCAAACTGACATGTTTCACATGAAAAGAGAGCTCCGTGGTAAATGCGGAGCTGTCAGATACCTTCCCAGCTAGGTCCTGCTTCCTGGAGACAGAAAGAATACTTTGTAGCACCAGTTTCCACGTGCTGTGTAGCTTCTGCCAAACGACAGGATTTCTCACACTTCAGTACCCTGTGCACTGATGTCCTCTGAAACTCGCATGGAAACAGACAACTGCTGGCCCTTTGGGCTCTGTATGCTAGCCTTATAATTACATAAGTTACACATGGCATTAAAGGAAATAATAGAGGGCTGAGGAACAAAGCCATATAAACACACGAGTTTCTAGACACAATGTTTTAACCCTATTCAACTATGCATTCTAGACATTAAAAAAAACTGGGTATTTGAAAAACAACTCCATGCAAATACAGAAGTAAAAAAGTTGAGGCTACTACAGGATATTAACTGAGAGTCCCATTTTTTTCCTGCCGTAGTTAGAAAGAGACATACATACACTGCATCCCATAGCAGATAGGAGATCATTACCTTTGAGCAATAGGGGCATGAACGGGATTTTTGGCGGCTTCATCTTTTTGAATGCATCCCTGTAGGCTTTGTGGTTTAGGGAAGGATCCTGCCAACCAAGCAGATCACACAGAGGAAGAAAAAAAATCAATGTGATATAGAAGCAATTCTGGATCAACATCTGCTGTACAATTTGAACATGATTAGACACCGATAGCTTCTTCCTAAGAATGAGGCGGAAAAAGGTTTCCTTGGAGAGTAAACGCACTAATTAGGGTAGCAAATCCAGGCAATGCGTGGAATTCAAGTTATTGGTTTACAATAATGGGAGGTGACTGCAAAAAGAGACAGACACCTTCTGATTGCCCTATCATTTTCCTCAAATAGGACTGCCAAGCGTAGTTTCCTCTGCATAATTTCTACCACAAGGTAACCTCAGAGTCTTTTGTTAATTCCACTGCAAAGGAAAACTGCCCTCGGAACACAAAGATAATGCCAAATTCTAGAAACAAGCTACAGACCATGTATATAGACCTAAGAAACAATAAGTGGGGGGGGGAGATTAGTGCATAGCACACTAATTACTCACCAAGTCTACTTTCATGTTGTAAAAAAGAAAATGCCTTGTGAAAAAAAATATGGATTTCACAGGGAGAGGAGGCAGTATTAATGGACATCACACTTCATAACTTACCTCCATCTAACTATTTGTTTATCTATCATCTATCCATCTACCTACCTACTTACCATCTATCTATCTATCATTTATTCTTAAATTTTTAAATTAAAAAAATTGAAACTTTGTCCCTTTGCTCCTTCCCTTTCTTCCACCCAATCCTTCTCTTGAACCCGCCCCCTTGTTCGCTTCCAAATTCATGCATGGCCTCTTTTTCTTCAATGTATATGTGTGTGTATATAAAACATCTTGTGTGTGTATTCCCAAATACATAAATACAACCTGCTCAAGCTACATAATGCTCCCTGCATGTATATGACTTTAGGGCTGATCACCTGGTATTGGGCAACCAACTGATTGGGTCTTCCCTTGGGGAGATTAGTTCTCCACTCTCAATATTCTCTAGTTACCTTCGTTCTTTGTCTAGAGTTGGGATCTGATGGGGGAAGTCCTTCTGTGTATATGTTTGTCCCATTGGTTGATAAATAAAGCACTGCTGACCAATAGGGAGGCAAAATAGGTGGGACTAGGAGTCGGGGAGGATTCTGGGAAATGTAGTCAAGAGTAGAAGAGTCTGTCATGTGATCCCCGGAAGAGAGGCTGCATGAGGCTGTGTACTTGGTAAGATAAGGCCTTATAAAAATATATATATATTAGTGATTATGGGTTAATAATTAAGTCAGAGCTAGCCGATAAGAAACCATAGCAAACGGCCAACAGCTTCATAATTAATATAGTGTCTCGTGTGTTATTTGGGGGCAGAGACAGCGGCGTGACCCAGGCAGCTGGTGGGAAAGAAATCACGTTACAGGGGTCCCTTGAGATTTTTTCCCCCTTTCTGTGTTAGCATGGCCATTTTTAAGACGGAATCTTATTTCATAGTCCAGGCTGGTCTGAAACTTGCAATTTTTCTGCCTCAGCCTCCCAAAGTACTAGGATTCTATCACCACGCTAAACTCAAAACTGTAACTATAGAGGCAAGCAGCCAGTTTAGGCGTTGGTAGCACAAAGAACAGTAAGCTGAACCCTGACCTTGGAAGGAAATAGCACTAATGATGGGTGATGTCCTTCTGTACATATGGTTCCCTTATTGGTTGATGAATAAAACACTGATTGGCCAGTAGCCAGGCAGGAAGTATAGGCGGGGTGACCAGAGGAGGAGAATTCTGGGGGGAGGGAGGCAGAGAGACGCTGCCAGGGAGACAGCCAATTAGCCACTGAAAAGAGTAACATGCGGGAGCATTCTCTGGCAAGATAAGACCGAGTGGAAATACTTAGATCAGTAAAAATGGGTTAGTAATTAAGAGAGAGCTAGCCAATAAGAGGCCTGAGTCATAGGCCAAACAGTTTATAATTAACATAAGTCTCAGTGTGTTCATTTGGGGGCTGAATGGCGATGGGACCAGGATGAAAACAAACTCCGTCTACACACTAATATTAGTTTGAAGAATATGTCCCCTTTACTTACCGTTAAGCTTTCAAGTTCAGAGAAAAGTTTCTTAAACTTCCCAGGAATTTTCTTAGAACAAAACAAAACAAATCTACAGTCAGCAAAGGTCATGGAAGGTTGCAACTTTGAGAAGTGGCATTAAGGGACATTGGCACTGAGTTCTTCTTATTCACGACGCATTACTGAGCGTAAATATCTGTCTGTCATGGGGCCCTGCCTTGATTTTGTCTCATTATATAGTTCTCATCACCCCACCCCCACAACATGACCATCGTTAGGCATGTTGCTAAAAATGTCTTGGCAGCCACACGATAAAGGAGTCTAGTTGGGTAGACGCTCTACACACCGGCAGTTACTTAACGAACACGGGCTTCAGTTTTCCATCCCATCTTTGATGAATGTGCTCACCCTTGCAATAGCCCAACAAAGTGGGAAATAGCAACATTGGCCGGGTGCTTTTATTTGTTTTTTTATAGAAATGGCAACACTACATGCACAGCAGAGGCCGGATAACAAAGATGGTTTGAAAATCTTACGTGACTCAGCTTGTACCTTAGGGGATGGAATCACCGAATCTGAAGTGCAACAGGAGGTATGTAAGATGAAGACGACAGGAGAGGGAAGGTGTGTCTGGGCCATCCTCCCAGACCACCAGCAGGAGAAGACACGGAGTCTTTCACACTGCCTCAGTGGCCTGTCATAGAAAGATGACCTAGCCAAGGGTCTGTGACGTCTGCCCACCGCCCGAGGCCCCTCTCCAGCTGTGTGTTTAGTGTGAGTTGGCATCCTCTCTGGTCTCAGCCTTCAGCGATAACCCATGAAACAGATACAGCTGTCCATGGTTGCTTAGCGGATTCCGGGTATTAACGCTAACAAGGAATCTTAAGATAATAATAATAACTATTATTACTATTATTAATATCAAGATCTTCCAGAGAGGTTTCATTAGCAAATGGAGTCAAATTAATGACAGCAAGTTCGTAATAACTAAGCTTTAAGACCGCTTAATTTTTCAGTGTGATACTCTTGACTCGGTTGTAGTTTAACCTACCTGGAAATGGCTGCTCCCCAAAACATAAAAATACAAAATGCAGACTTTTGTAATTATTTCCAGTCTTTCCTTTGAGCCATACCTCAGTCTGTTGGACATCCTCATGAATGTCCCAGTGGTGACTCAAAGCCAAACTGGTTTACCCAGAGGTCAGCTAAGAGCCAAATCTGGCCCAGAGACTATATTTTGCAAATCAGCTTTTATGGGAACACTCCCATGGCCATCATTCATTCATTCATTCATTCATTCATTCACTAACTATGGCTGTTGCAACAGAGTGTGAGGGTTAAGTCTTTGCAATGGAGACCGTATCGTCAGTTTGTTTTAAAAAAAAAAAAATCTGCTGATCCCTGTTTACCCTCCTCAAGCCTACGTCTTTCCTTTTATCTGATAACACTATCACTTTCCTTTGACTCTGAGGTCCTGTGGTCACCTCTACTGGAATGCACAGTTACTTTGGCAACTTTGAAAAGCTACGCACGCCAATGTGGATGGACATGTCCAAGGCCTGCAGGGGAGGGGGGGAGGGAGAGGCACTGAAGCTTAATAACTTCGCCTCTGCATGCACCCTCCACTCTCAAGCCAGTAAGCACCCTATTCATCTCTGTGCACGCCTCGCTCCACAGGCCAGACTGGAGGCAGCACGGAGCTAGAGCTGCCTTCAGGGAATGCAGAGGAGGGTGAAGAGAAATTAAAAAAAAATTTTTTTCAAAAGTCTTTTCCAGACACTTTAGAGACCCATGCTAAAGATCATTTGAGGGACCACTTGATAGAAATGGTTCCCAACCACCCGCCCCCCATCCACCCCGCCCCCCAACCCCTGTCACAGCCCTACTACAAATACTTTCAGCCAAGCAGAATTTGTCCCACACCCACAACCCAACTCCCAAGAGCAAAGCCCCAGGCTCACCTCCCAGGTCTGTGACAGCCGACTCACGGAGGCAGTGTTGAGACCCATCACGATAGCAAAGAAAGAGTTCAGGTTCTGCTGGGCTTTGCAGCTGTGAATAAAGGAGAGCGGGGATGAGAAAACATGCTGGCAACACAGTGGGCAGTCACCGGTAGAGCCCCGTGACTCCTGGGACACAGCTTCAGCAGATGGCACACCTGTGGCCATCCAGGGAGAGGAACGGATGCCCCAAGTGTTTCTAATGCGGAAAAAAAAAAAAAGATTTATGTCTCCTGGGCTCCTCTCTGCCCCCTCCACTACCCCAAATCCTTCCAGACACTGCAGGAGACCCCTCCCCTGCTAACATCCATTTGTGGCACATTTATGATTTCAGCGGTGACGCCTGGAAAATCGGCAGGTCTCCTCAGATTTTAGTACCCGTGCTTTTCCTGTATCTGGCCGATGCATCTCTCTCACCTTGGGGGTCTAAGTTCTCTCATTCATTCAAACATAACATTCTTTCCTAGCAACAAAATGGACACCACACTCTCTGTCCATCTGTCCGTCTGTTTGTCCATCTGTCCGTCCATCCATCCATCCATCAATCCATGCATCCATCCTCTGAGTGTATGGCGTACATTATGGGATAGCCCTCCACCTTTCTAATTTATAAAGGTAAGAAACTAATAAGGAGCATAGACAGTAGATTCAGAAGTCAAAGAAGGTTATTGTCTACTACAATGAGAGTTCAATACCAGCCTAAGAAATACAGGAGACCTTGCCTCTTAAAAAAAAAAAAAAAGAAGGGCCGGGCGGTGGTGGCGCACGCCTTTAATCCCAGCACTCGGGAGGCAGAGGCAGGTGGATCTCTGTGAGTTCGAGGCCAGGCTGGACCGACGGCCTCCAAAACAATACAGAGAAACCCTGTCTCGTAAAAACCAAAAAAAAAAAAAAAAAAGAACATGTTCATAATTTTATTTTTTTTTACTTAGTTTTCCTAGTGTAGCCCCTGCTAGTTTCAGTTCTTCCCAGTCACTCAGAAATGCTGCAAGAGGAATCTTTTGTTTTATGCAACTTTTCAGTTATTCGTGAATTTTTTTCCCCATTAGGTTTCCAGCTATGACATGGTGGTACAGAAGCTACAAACATGGAAAGTTGTTTTTTTTGCTTTTTGTTTGTTTGTTTAGTTTTGAGAAAGAGCCTTCTTATGCAGCCCGGGCTGCACTGGAACTTGCTATAAAGCTCGGACTGGCCTCAGCTTCACAGTGCTGGAAAACTGTACCACCACGCACTGTGAATGCCAGCTAGAGGTTCCCACGCACACTGTCTTCCAAAGCTGCAACATTTTATTGGCACTAGAACGAATGAGAATGTGCTGTGTCCTGGCAGGTCCTGTCTGCCTCGTGGATCAGACCTTGCTCCAGTCCAACTATACCTGGGCTCCGAGTCGGGAAAGAAAAGTTCTCTCCCTGTGAAGAGGGGGGCTGGAGCGACCCTGTTGCCTGCACACCTACAGCAGGGAGGTATCTGGGGACCAGCGGGCACATCGCTGCCAACCCCCCCCGCTCTGGCTGGTCCCCAAGTCTGTCCGGTTCTGATGCAGCCTTCGGTTATCTGGGTATGAGGCCCCTGGAGCCCAGTCTTGCTGGTTTTTCCTCTTGTCAACCTCCACACGCCCAAAGGGTCTTTGAGGGGCATCATCTATGGTCTATGAACGCACTGAAGGAAGTCTGTCTGTGACTACTTCTGAGTCTCTTCTGCCTCAGGCCGAGCCCTGACTTCACCTCCCTGCCACTCACTTCCCTCAAGCTATCCGACGACGGTTCACAACAGCCAGAAAAGCCAGAGTTAGCGCAATCTCTTGATGGAATGTTCGAAATCCCGGGTGGAGCTCCTGTCAAGGGAAACTGCCCCAGTCCACCGGCGGAAGATACTTCCCACCCCTGAGTCCTCACACACAAGGCAGCCCTACAGGTTACTGCTGGTGTCAGAGAGGATGCTCCTTAAGGATGAGTACACAATGACTCATTTGTTTCCTTGTGTCTATCCAACGGCTTAATGCACAGCAAGCCATGCACATAAAATCTATACACACACGCTCTCTCTCTCTCTCTCTCTCTCTCTCTCTCTCTCTCTCTCTCTCTCTCTCTCTCTCACACACACACACACACACACACACACACACACACTCTCTCTCTCTCTCACACACACACACACACATACCATCTGAATTTTTTTTAAAAGGAAATTAAATTAATGCAGACACAATTCCTGAACGAGACAAATTGATTCTGAGCAGGAATCAGATGCCAATCAGGCCTGGAATCCTGTTACCATGGTCCATTCATCCCGAGATAAGAAGAGCAGCCTGGCTGCCTGACGCTAAGCATTCCAGTCCAGCAACCATCCCTTTGTCTGCTTGAGGAAAGAAAATCCACTCAATCCACAGAGGTGGGGGATGGGGACGGTGAGGAGGAGGGAGGCATGAATATGCAAATCGGGATGCCTCAGGCAGGGGAAGGCCTGCTTCCCCGATTGTGGAGATGGCTGTTTCCCCTTGGTTCTTCCTATGGCGGTGTGATTATAGGGAATTCAACTTTTACGTTTCAGTTGGCATTCTGTTCCATGGGCTAGGACAGAGACCCGCGTTATAAATAATTCAGGAGCATGGAGCTATAGGGAGGAGGCACGGATACATTTCATTCCCCCTAGGTTAGAGCTCACACTGGGGAAGGAGCTGGGTGGTACCACATTACACCTCGGAACATGGATGTCCTCTTGCATATCACATCCTAAGAAGCCTTTTAAACCATGACAGCCACCTTCAGGGATCTTGGGGCCCGTTTTAGAGCACACTGGCTGAGTTAACAAGCAAACAAAACTACTAACAAGAGAAAAACCCTACTACTCAGCACAAGAGTGTCAGTCCAGGGTGTAGACCTGTGTTAACTGCTCTTCCATCTGATCATGGCAGACCTCAGACAGGTGCTCCCTCAGTCTCTCCCTTCTGGGGTCTCTTGGCCAGTTTCCCTTCCACACACGGGCTGGCTTTCCTAAAGCACATTCTGACCCTATCAGTCTCTTGGCCACAGACTTTCCACCGATCCCTTCTGCCTCCTCCATCGATGCTATCTGCCTTTGCCCGCCAGTCTCCTACAACTTCCTTCTCAACCCCACACCATGCTCATCATACCCACGGAGGTACCCTCCATGGAAAACGGAACCCTCCGCTCTTCTTACCCAGAATGCAGAGAGAGAGAGAGTAACGGATGCTCCTCCCGTCACCCCTGTTTCCGCTCTCAACGCCCATACTCCTGAGACGCAGCCTTCCCGTCTTCGAAGCCAGGACAGACTCCAACCCCACACCAGACCCTCCCTCACTCTGTGCTACAGAGCACCTTGTGGCCTGAAGCCTGATTTCCCAAAAGACCTCAACCAGACACACACACACACACACACACACACACACACACACACACACACTAAGTGATCACACTGCACTTTCTGAGCAAGCCAGGCCGACACTTACATCCAGCCCTCCACAGGTTCCAGGGCTGTAGGTTTAGGCAGATCAGGTACCGTGCAGTTAGTTAATCCCACATGGCTGCATCTACACTGACTGCAGGGGCTACATTCCTCGTCCTGATTCCCCGGACAACTCAGTGTTAATGGCAGTTTCTTGCTGGCTAAACTTTCCCTGGAGGGTTACAGAAGTCTTTCCTGCCCATTTCCATCCCTGTAAGTGACTGTGTCCCATCTTCCCCTGTAGGCATTTTGGCCATTCACACACACACATGGGTGACAAGATACCAGCTAGCCTGCCTTCTTCCTTCCCTCTGTCCCTCCCTCCCTGCTCTCTTTCTCACTTTCTGCCTTTTAAAACAACCTAACAATGATGCTGAAGATCCAGTATGGTATAGCTTACCAGCAGCTCAAGCCCCAGCAAGGCCACAAGTTTCTCTCTCTCTCTCTCTCTCTCTCTCTCTTTTTGGTTTTTATGAGACAGGCTTTCTCTGTATTGTTTTGGAGGCTGTCGGACCAGCCCGGCCTTGAACTCACAGAGATCCGCCTGCCTCTGCCTCCTGATTGCTGGGATTAAAGGCGTGCGCCACCACCGCCTGGCCACAAGTTTCTCTTACGCAGCCTTTTTTCCTTCTAATTCTGTCTTTTCCCTTCTCTCTCACCTCACTGTCCCCCCCCCCCACACCGACATAGCCTGTCCTAGGTGAGAGGCCATGCCGCATTGGACCAGAACATGCCTGTAACAAAGAAAAGCACCGGGACTTTGGTAGCCAGGGGCCTAACTCTGAGGTGTTCTGGTGCTAGGTTTTGGAGACCACTGGAGCTCAGCTTCCTGAAAGTTCCTTAAGGCCCACTCTGTTGAAGGCACAGGAGCTTTCCACAGGCTGGGAGGCCACTTGTTCTGACCACTTTCCACTGGCCTTGTGGCTCCTTAACCCAGGGACGGTTCAGGTTGGGGACACCCCTTACGTTCCAGGGATATTTGGTCATTTCCAGACTTAGGGGACGCTCTACTCAAGTGGACACTGGCCCCTGTCTGTATCTTGGTCCTGGGCCCAGTCATGGGTTCCAAATTTTCTGTACCAACAGACACTGCTTTGGTCTGTCTGAGGGCTAACTTAAGAAGCTCCCACTAGGAAACCGGTGATTATCCTTTGCCTTTCAATGAGCATCTGGCCTCAATATACATTGAACAAACAGCTACCGCAGGCCCAGATTTGGAAGTGATTTATGTAAACAAACTCCATAAGACTAAAGGGATGATGGATGGAAGCGTGGTCCGAGGCCCCCTCTCCCATAAAACTCACAGGTCACTTTCATCTTTTTCAAGGCTCTGGCTTACAGCAGAACTCAAGAGCCAGAATGCCGGCCAGCCGCCATTTCTGCTGGGGCCTCCAAACTTGTGTCTGCTCCTGACTGAGACAGCGCAGAACTTTTTTTTTTTTTTTGTCTTACTTGTGCTTATGCCTCCCCATACCTAGAAGATCCTGCTTTTATCTTTAGTAGCTAAGAGGCAAAAGCATTTCAGGTTGGCTGACTCCATCTACGGACACATCCAAACTCGTCATGGATACACAGATCACTAGGTTGAGACTTACAGATATTTAAACCTATTTTGGATACGGAAATATTGTTTATGCTGTTCTACTGTATGGAGAAGGTGGCTCTGGAGTTGGGTTTCAGTCAACCTCCAAAGTCTCTGCTCTACGTCAGGCTGGCCACCTAACTCTGTGACAGGGAGAACAAGCAGGGTGGTGGTGGCGCACACCTTTAATCCCAGAACTCAAAAAGCAGAGGCAGGCGGATCTCTGGGTTCAAGACCAGCCTGGTCCACAGAGTGAGTTCCAGGACACCCAGGGATACACAGAAAAACCCTGTCTTCGGTGGGGGTGGGGGTGGAGGAGGAGAGCAAAATAGAATAGCCAGGAATAGACGCTATAGTCCACAGACAGTAAACTATTTCTATAGAGGTTACAATTCTTCCCCACTTCTTTCCTGGCTTTGTTTAAAGTTTTTGCTGAAACTTTAACTTCATATATTTTAGAATTTATAAGTTTATTGATTTTAAAAAGTCTATGCATAGCTAAAATTAATTTGCTATAGCATACCATGGATGTAACTTGGATTCAACTCTTATTTAGGAAAAGGGTGTGCACCTGATGGGCTTGCCTTGGAGAGTGTGTGTGTGTGTGTGTACGTATATATCTGGCATTTTGTAAAAGTACATTATAAAAGGATCAGGAAAATGAAGTTCCCATTTTCCCTGTGGACTGTATTTATGGTTTAAAGTTTATTTTGATACTAAAGGAGTTTTAATTCAGGAATTATATTTTTTCAGGCTCACACGAAATCCTAATCTTATCAAAGAGTTAGTAACATTGTAAACTGTTAAAGAATTAAGATACACAAATTAATGGTCAGCCATGCTAAGTACAAACACAATTTTTTTTTTCCGAGACAGGGTTTTTCTGTGTAGTCTTAGAGCCTGTCCTGGAACTCACAGAGATCTGCCTGCCTCTGCCTCCCGAGTGCTGGGATTAAAGGTGTGTGCCACCATCACTTGGTTATACAAACATAATTTATTTACAGGGACAAACTTGGAGACACACACACACACACACACACACACACACACACACATCATTATATAGCCTTCTGTACATGCTGTCAAAATAAGCCTGAAACAAATCAAGTATGAAGTAAACTTAAAGTTTGCCTAATGAAAAATAATATTAAAAATCAGGTATATTTAAAAATTACTTGTAAGAACTTGAATTGTTGAGCAAAATGGGTTAAACTTACAATTATACTTGCATGGCAGGGAACCCCCAGGCTCAAGCAGCTCCCTTGGATGGAGCACAAGCTCCCTTGGGTGGAGCACCATCCTACCTGAGTAAGTTGCACGCTAGCCTCCTTAGGGGACAAGAATGCACGGGAAATAAGACCAGGCAGAAGTCTGGGGCTTCTGTCTCTGGCCGAATTGGTCTGACCAGCATGGCTGCACGGGTCAAATCAGAAAATCCCTCGTCCTTATGTAAGGACGCATCCCCTTGTGCCACATAACGGGGGGAATCTCAGTCTGTACCCACATCCTAAATGTCTCAAACAACACAGAGACAAACAGCAGTAACTCTACCCTCAATGCCTCCCAAACTGACAGGTGTGCAAAAAAATACTCTAAGTTTATTTATAATGTGTATTTGTACAAGTTCATTGAGTATGCGTGTGTGTGTGTGTGTGTGTGTGTGTGTGTGTGTGTGTCCTTGTGCTTATCCTCTGTTGTGTGCAGGTCAGGTAACCTTTTTATTTAGTTGATAAGTGCCTTATTTGATTTATTTATATACATATATATATACACATATATTCGAGATATAGTCTCTATGCACACCAGGCTAGTCTCGAGCTCACATAGATCCTAGAATGTCCCTGAATTTCCATGGTACCCCCTCCCCCATCATGCTTCACATCGTCTTTCAGTTTCCTGGCCTATTGGCAGCACCTCCAGCCCTACTGTACAAGTGATCACAGGCTGGTTATAACTCCTAAGCAGAGTCTGGTATTTTGACATTTACTTTGAGATATGAAAACTTCAAATGCCAAGACATAAATATTCAAAAGAAAAAAAAAAACCAGACCTTTTCAATCATTTGGTCACTCAACCCAGCGATACATTTTTTATATCCCAACCCTTCTTATCAACGGTAAGAAATGGAAAAAAAAAAAAAAAACAGACAAGGCACCACCAATACTTTCTCAAGAGAAATGACACTCTTCACCACCAGAAACCTACTGAGCAGCAATCTTGATGAATTTCTTCACCAGCTGCACGCGCTTGCCCAGCTGGCTGCAGAGCAGGATCTCCGTGGCCACCCAGAGCTGGACCTCGTTACACCTCTGGAGCAGAAGGCTGAGGTTGACAGTGTGCTCCCCCACTTCCCTGTCTGCTGAAGGTGAAGTAGATGAGCTCTTGCTGAAAGAAAACATGTTTATCTTTAGCTCGAGTCAAGATGATGCAAGATTCAATCACATTCAATCAGCTGTTGAGGTGTTCACAGGAAATACAGCAGATAACCATGTAAGCGGACTCACTATACTTTGTTCACCGAGAACCCTTACACATCCCCCCAACCTCCCAACCCCGCCCCACCCGGGAATGTAAGGAAGACATCCTGATAGAAAATCGGGAACATTCTAAAGTCTGAATCGCAGGAATTTTGAAAGGAACCACTGACTGTGGCAACCAACGGCACTAGCATTTGCCACCACACATCAGAGCCAACAGATAACTGTTAATTATGGGGGGGGGGTCCTCTGAACCACCCTGCGCACTGGCAAGGTTCAGATTACCGGACCTCCTCCCCTAGAATTTCTGATTAATAATCTATGAAGGGCTGAAACATCCCTTTGATGCCAGGTCTCACTACCTTGCCTAGGTTGACCCTGAACCTGTGGCCTCCTGACCCTGTGGCCCTAGCCTTCCAAGTAAAGGGGGACTCCAGGCGGGCAGGCATCACCCCTGCGCATGGGCTCTGAAAGTCTGCAATTCTAACAAGCTGATTCTGGTCTTAGCCGGTACTCTCTGAGAAGCAGTGTTTTAAGGACACCGCTAGATCACAAAGTGAAAACTAAGGGCAGGGTGTAAAAGCAAGCCAAGACCAGTGAGTATTTAGCATTACCGAGGACAAAGCGGCAGAGAGGCTTGTTTTCTAACTGAGCGCCGGTATCTTCAGGAGTCAACTCACTAGCGGGGGAGGATTCCCACTTCACTGACAATGCTGAAGACACAAATGGGGGAGTTCACGCCATTGCTCAAACCACGCCATCATGCTCAACACATTTTATTGAGAAAATATGAACGAATTTAACAGATATCTAAGAAGGAAAGGCTTATGGGGGTCCCCCCAAAAATTCAAGCCACGTGCATCCCTGCAAAAGGAAAGACACCTTGGGGGGGGGGGAAGAAACAGCTTCTCTACATGCAAGATGTGTGTACCACACGGGAACAGACCTGTGGCATTTTGATCTCCTCAATCCAGTGAGCCCTGCTAACACCAAGTTGCCAGTAGCAGTTTGCTCCTAGCCTACAATTTGTAAACTTTATAATCTGTCCCCAGGGGAGATGTCCATACACGCAAAAATGTGAAACTGATAAGATAGCACATTCTAAGATTTAAGAAATACGAATGGGTGGGGGGAGTTCGAGGTAGGGTTTCTCTGGTGTCCCTGGCTGTCCTAGAACTAGCTCTGTAGATCAGGCCGGCCTGGAACTCTCAGAGATCTGCACGCCTCTGCCTCCCGGGTGCTAAGATTAAAGGTGTGCGCCACCACCGCCCGGCGTATACATGGAAATCTTAACATGAAAGATAAAATTATTCAGTCTCATTATAGCATCATGTATCAGTGTAAATCTATAAAATCATCACATCCCCACAGATGATCTACTTCCCTACGGCTGTCTGCATATGAACCCAACATGTCCACACTCACTCACTCCAAGCACTGGACGGAACAAGAAGCAAAGAAATCACGTGACATAGTCTGACTTTCTCAGGGTGAGGTAGATTTTTTTTCAGTCTATTTTAACTCCCCCAGACAGCTTCTAGACCTCACTACCCTAGCATACCTATATCACCATACGGATGTCTCAAAACACACACACACACACACACACACACACACACACACACACACACACACACACACCAAATCATTCAGGCAAAAGTCACAGCCACATTGTCCCCTGCTCACCTCATGGATGGAGTTAAACACACTCCAATCAAAACTCATTAGCTCCAGGGCCAGGTCCCAGGTGTTCATCCCCAAAATCCTCACGGGCCTCTGCTGCTGCGATTCCTCGTGGTCCGCAAAGGGGTTCTAAACCGGCAGACAGAAGCAAAAACAATCTTCAGTCGCTCCCAAACGCCTCACAGTGAGTTGGCTGCCCACAGGGAAGGTTCTAGGAACCCAGGTTAGAAAAAGACATCCTTTCTGCCCTGCTCTGGTCACCTGCAGTGAGTGACAGCCATTGTAGGAAATGGCCCCAGGGAACAGTAGAAAGAATGAACAGTGATCAGTAAGCCTCCCCCTCCCCCACAAGCACACACACACACACACACACACACACACACACACACACACACACACACACAGAGAGATCTGATTATAAAACACAGCCCTGACAGACATCGTAATGAAAGTGAAAGCCCTGAAGTCACTTCGGCTTCTGGTAAGGATTAACGTGCCAGCAGGGTTAGTAGTATGAAAACAAACAAAAGAAATGTCACAGAGCACTTCAATAAAGACAGACACGGCTTTTACAGGAAACACGAGTTTACTAGGCCCATCCCAGACACATGCTCACAAATTTTATTACAGTGCCCTTGGAGAGTGGAAAAAAAAAATCTAACATGAGGTAAGAATTAAAGCTATTTTATTAAGAGCCCATGTGGCCTTACTAATGTATTCTATGTAACAATTTTTTTCCCCTCATCGTAGAGTTGGGGGCTAATCAATCTGAGGTTGATAACAGTACTTCCTCCAAAATCTGTCATGAGACTATTAAACTGCCAACACAGCCTTAGATCTATCATCACTTTCAAAGTTATTAAATAAACAATTTGGTACTTTCCTAAAATAACTGATATTTTCTAATTAAAATACTTAAAGGGGTATAACTCAGTGATAGAGTACTTATGCTTTGCCTACCATCTATGAGGTCCCTGAGGTCAGTTCCCAGTGTGAGAGAGGGAGGGAGGGAGAGGAAGAGAGAGAGAGACAGAGAAAGAGAGAGAGGGGGAAGGAGGGAGAGGGAGAGGGAGAGACAGAGAGAGAAAGAAAGAGAGACAGAGACAGAGACAGAGAGAGGGAGGGAGAGAGAGAGACAGAGAGAGGGAGGGAGAGGGAGAGAGAGAGACAGAGACAGAGAAAGAGAGAGAGGGGGAGGGAGGGAGACGGAGAGGGAGAGACAGAGAGAGAGAGAGAAAGAGAGAAAGAGGGAGGGAGGGAGAGAGAGGGGGAGGGAGAGAGAGAGAAAGAGAGAGAGAGAGAATATGACAAGGCTTGTTATGCAAAAAATAAATGACATGGATAACATGCCATTTTAGAACTTTAATGGTTACGAAAAGGTTTCCTATTAAAAAAGAAACCAACCAGCCAACCAACAATACAGAGGACCTTTCCAGATTTCCCCACAGGGTTGACTGGCTTGAGAGAGGGCCAGGCATAAGCTGACTCTCACCCCACACAGGGTGTAGGATGCAGAGTCAGGAGACACAGTCTGGTTTGTTGACTTACAGAGTCTATGGTTTTAAGGTGGGGAAGCCACCGTTTCTCAGGGGACTTTCTGCTAGGATGGGACAAGACACTCAAGTAGACTCAAGGAGAAAACTTCAGGGCGGGGACTTATGGCCGAATCGCAGGATAACGTGGCCTTTTGTCCCTTTTATTTTCCCCCAAATTTGTCCCTAAGCACAGTTTGGTTACCATCTGGTTGTTCAAGGCTGTCCACTACCCTGGCCAGGCAATGGTTTATTTTCTCTGTTCCATTCCTCTAGGCTCTAAGGCTTGATTCTGAGGAAGATTTGTTCTCCTGTGTGAAAGTGTTAATGGGTACAGCAAGCAGACTCATGTGGTCGTCCTCCCCAAACACCATTTGTTGTAAGCAGAATCCTCTGAGGATAAAATTCCTAAATCTGGGGCTGGGGAGATGGCTCAGAGGTTAAGAGCACTGGCTGCTCTTCCAGAGGGGTCCTAAGTTCAATTCCCAGCAACCACATGGTGGCTCACGACCATCTACAATCCAATCTGGTGCCCTCTTCTGGTGCGTAGGCAGAACACTGTACATGTAATTAACAAATAAATCTTAAAAAAAATCCTAAATTTGCTTCCCACCAGGACACGTGCAGTGGTGCCCAAAGCTGGAGGGCAGGATGGAGTCCTGGGTCCTTTCACAACATAGCTCATGGCACCCGTTTATTCCACTGGGATCTCACCCGTGACTACCTTAGGGCCTCTGAGAGGCCCTGTATAAGCAAGTCCTGGGGGAGTTATACCGGGTAGCTGGCTACGTGGCTGAGAGTGGAGGGCACAGTGGACAGCTAGGGTGTGGGTTTTTTCTTATCAAGAACCCACAACAGCCACATTTTAGACTATCTTCTTCCACGGGCAAGAATAACATCAAGCTCACTGTCTACTAAAAAGTGCTGGGAAATTCCTTCGCTGTTCCCTTGGTTATAAACGTTCTTAAAATTCACACTGAGAATAACCTGAAGGACATACATACATACATACATACATACATACATACATACATACATTTGTTTTCCTTCAAAATCTTACTCTTCAGGGCATCTGGTATTGTTATCAACTCATCTCACCAAGGGAAGGCTTTAACCCACCCTTTCTTTAAGGAAATGGAACAGTCAAGAGGACAGGCTCTTCTCCTCTATATTTACCTGGGAATGTTTCTCAGCCCTGTACCCATACAAGCTCCCCCAAAAGAAAGAAGAGACTAACTCAAAATGTCACAGGACAGGGAGTCACTATTTTGAATCCTTTGTAACACAGCAAGACTGATCTTACGAAAGGCAAAGAATCCGTTAAGCCAAGGCCTCTGATTTGCCAAAGACATAGCACTTGGCAGCCTACCCTTGGCTGGGAGAGGAAATAGCTTACTATACGTTTTTCATAATAAAGCATGAAAATTATTGTTGCATCTGAAACTTGTGTTTCCAGTGCCAGCACAGAAGTTCTTACCAAAGTATCAGCTAGATCTTTCCGGTAGACAAATATTCGACCCGACGCCTCCAGGGATTTGGAAATGGCCAAGTCATTTGGCTGAAATTCATGCTTTTCTGTATTTGGGGGAAAAAAGGGGGGGGAGTAATTAGAAACACAAGTAAGCCTGCGAAACTTGCCTAAGAAAAATATTTAAAAATACGTAAATAAACTTTGAGTTTGTCTTCGCCAATTTTTAACATAACGCCAGTGGTGGTAGGTGCATCTCCACTTAGCACTCTGGAGCTAAACAGGGCAGTTCAAGGTAGATAACCAAATTCACTCATAATCCCTGTCTCCAAAATAACAGTGGGAGCCCATATCTCAGTAGTTAATACAGAACATGCACACTTGTTCACACACTCACACTAGTGATTTAGTCCTACAAATTGTTTTACAGTTCGATGTCATTATGAGCACTTACCCACTTCCTGTTTACACGTCATGTTTAATTGGTTACATAGCAGTCCATTATATCATCATTTAGTCATGTTCTACTGCTGAACATTTAATGGTTTCCCACTTTTGCTCTTATAAATTAATATATGTTAAGTATAAACACGGGGCCTGGCACATCACAGCGTCCTGACAAACGGTTCTGTTCTTGCAGTTAGCCGTAATATGTCCTGCTGAAGGCAACATCCTTGTGCATAAATCCCTTCTGCTTACCTACGAGTTTCTAAACAGACTTCCTAGTATGGAATTACTGGGTAAAGCCTTTGATATCAACTGCCGAACTGGTTACCAACTCTCTTTTCAGAAATAAATAAATAAATATATCCCTAAAATTAGATGTAAAGCTTGTGTACCTAACAACACCTATTGCAGTTTTGGGATGGTCTGCTTTATGTGCAAGGAAAAAGGCTGGTCCTCAGTTAGCTTCTGGTTACTGGCGAGGTGGGATGCTCTTCAGACGGTGGCTACTTAACTTCCTCACAGCACAATGTTTGAGTCTAGGTTTTCCTCTCCTGCAGGCTGTGCCCTCTCTTCACAGATGGATGTCCTCCTCCACACCAAATGCACACACAGGGATAAAGTAACCATAAATTTGTTCTGTGGCCACACAATCCATTTCCCCTAGGGCGGCACTTTAGTTACTGCTGTGAGTGGGAGACACGCTTTGCTCTAGATAACTTAATCAACTTAAAGGCCAGATTTTGTTTTGAACCATGTCTGGTTAATAGAGAGCACATGAATGATTGTCTAATTTATTCCCAGTGGGTCAGCATTATAATGGTCTATATTATTATAGCGGTAGGCTGTTAACAGAGGTCTCAACTCCTTTCAAGTTGGCTACCAAAGCATCAAAGCTTAAAAACTAAATTTTAGCCTATGGAAAAAAAAAAAGAGTAGGCTGCTATGACACCACCTTGGACACAAAATATCTGCAAATCTGTTGAAGCTCCAAGAACAGTTGGTGCCTTTTTTAGAAAAAAAAAACCCAGCAAACATCAACAAATTCCTTAAACTTTTCTCAAAATCTAAATAAAGTGAAAATCAGGTCATAGAGCGTTGGTGGCGCACACCTTTAATCCCAGCACTCAGGAGGCAGAGGCAGGCGGATCTCTTTGAGTTTGAGGCCAGCCTGGTCTGCAGAGCGAGTGCCAGGAGGACAGGCTCCAAAGCTACACAGAAAAACCCTGTCTCAAAACACCAGAAACCAAAATAAAACAAACAAACAAACAAGAAACCGGGTCATGGCGTCAGTTCTCTCTGCAGGAATTTTAAGATATAATTTGTGAGACAGAGCTAGAGCAGTTAAGCCCTTCCCCTCTCACCCCAATTTAAACACTATTGTTTGAAGGACAGGAAGATGCAGGCAAGGAACCTCTTTATAGACCGCCCCAGCACCGACAAGTCTAGAAAACCCACCCACCAACCAGCCAACCAACAAAACCCACTCAGTGAACGGGACGTGACGTCACATTGCCAAACATGTGGATGATAGGTTTAAAGAGAAGTCTGGCACCAGGGAAACGTCCAGAGATCTACAAGGACGACACCAACTAACAATCTGAGCAATAGTGGAGAGGCTACCTTAAAGGACCTTCTCTGATAATGAGACTGATGACTGACTGCCTTATGTGCCATCCTAGAGCCTTCATCCAATAGCTGATAGGAAGCAGAAGCAGACACCCACAGCTAAACACTGAGCTGAACTCCAGGAACCCAGTTGCAGAGAGGGAGGAGTGATGAGCAAAGGGGTCAAGACCAGGCTGGAGAAACCCAGAAATAGCTGAGCTAAGCAAGGGGGATCTCACAGACCCCAGATTGATGGCTGGGAAACCAGTATAGGAGCCCGGATTGATATGTAAAACCAGCTTGTTTCTAATTTAAATTAAAAAAAGGAAAAAAATATGACACATTTAATATATCTACCTGAAATACGTTATTAATTCAAAGCTTCTGAGGGCACGTTCCTCCAGCTCACTAGACATTCTCATCCTTGGGAGGGGTTTTCATTTCTTAATAAACTGTCTCAATTTCTTTTCTCCACTTTAAGCTTTTGCTATTCATTTATTTTCTTTCACTTTATGTGCATGGATGTTTACCCGCACACACGTTAGTGAACCATGGGCGTGCCATACCCAGGGAGGCCGGAAGAAGGATGCCAGAGTCCCTAGACCTGGTGTTTTAGATGGTTGTCAGCTGGGAACTGAACTTAGGTCCTATGCGAGTACAGCAAATGCTCTTAACTGCTCAGCCATTCCTCTAGCTCCCCCCTCTCTTTCCTAACAAACACCACAGCCCCCAAACCATTTCCTTATTAAAGTTCATAGGGTCCACATGCTTTGCAAATTTTTGTTTTTATTTCCCTTGGATAATTTGTGGTTAGAGTTTTCTTTTCTTTTTTCTCCGGGCTACACCCTCAACCTGGGATGTCAGGCTATCCAGTGAGAGTTCTAGAAAGAAAGGAAGGACTCTAGTAGGCTTGCAGGGAATGGCTTCAGCTTTACTGATTTGTTTGTTTGTTCATTTTTGCGTGTAACTGATTGGCTTGCAAGACTTGTTTGACTAGCCCGTGAGCAAGAAGGTAGCAGGAGCAATGCTTGTCCTCACATAGAATTCTGAGTCTATCTCTACCTACAGGACAGTTACGGAGGGTAAACACAGCCTTGTACCTGCTCTCCTCCCCCAACACCTGCTGGCTGATTAGTTAATGTGGTACTTCTTCCACTCTCAATAGTCACCTTCCTCCCGTTTTTTCCCTCGGGAGTTAATGAGATAGTGAGTTAAGATGGGAAGCCCAGAGAGAGGCCAGTGACAGTGTGATCTGACAGGGTCCGGTAACACCAGGCTGCAGGCATCAACCACATCAGCTTGTAATCTGCACGGTCTTATTTGAGATAGATAATAAAGCTTCCTTGGGCGGACTAGCAAGGTACAACAGGAGAGGCTGTTACAAGGCTGGCTCACCATACCATGCACTCTCACAAGGCCCAGCTCACCATGCAATAAGCTGTTACTTTATTGCAACAGTTTCCTCTCTCCCAACATAGGAGTCAAAACACTAAATTCTCTCAGTCAGCAAGACTGACTAGTTCAAGGCCACCCTCCCCTCCTTGTATAGTAATTAAATCCTTTAACAGTCTCTGAAGTTAATTCAAACATGAAAATGGAAGGCTTATCTAATACTAAAAAATAAAAAAAAGAAAGATAGAAAGCTCTTTAATACATTTCAAAACATTGGCACGTCTTGCTACTAAATTCAAGGGAGGAAATTCAGTAGCCCCACTGTTGTCATGGAAACACATCTGGTAGGCACTTCATACTCTTACCGTGGTCATCCAACTGCAGGCAGAGGAAGGAGGAGAGGCAGCATGTCTACTCTACAAAATGTCAGCTTCCTCCCAGTGGAGATCCAGGGACAGATTAATATCCAAGGACAGATGTTCATAAAAAGTTTTTTTGTCCCGTCCTGGTCCCGCCACCCTTGAGCCCCAAATAAACACACAGATGCTATATTAATTATAAACCTGTTGGCTGATATCTAGGGCTTCTTATTGGCTACTTCAACCTTACTCATTAACCCATTTTTATTAATCTGTGTATTGTTGCATGGTCTTGGCTGACCGGAGAATGCCCGGATCCGTTACTCCTCTGGCTGGCTACACGGCGTTTTATTCATCAACCAGTAAGAGAGACATATATACAGAAGGACGTGTTCCCCTCCCCCCCAGCAGACAGAAAATATTTTACCTCCAGAGAACATGATGGCCACCAGGGCCAGGTCATCCTCTGCACGCTGCAACTTCTCAGCCACGACCTTCAGGATCTCCTGGGCTGTACTGGAAACTTTTGCCTTCACGCTGATATAGGAGTGCTCCGTTACATACACGTGGCAAAAAACTGTGGGAGTCAAAGGGACAATCCTTGTAACCAGAGAACTGTGACCTCGAGGCCACAGACTTTCCTAACCAAGGTGTCTACCTTGCTTTCCGTCTTAAGCATAATGCGTGTGCAGATGGATGCGTTTGGGACCGCATGAGGATTCGAGGGTCTAGCCTGTCAGCAAATGCTTGCCGTGACCACGGAGGAGCAGCTGGCTGGCTTCCCGTACTGCAAGGCATCCCAGGGTCCTGCCAGCATGTGCTTGTGACAGACTGTCCAGAAGACACTGGAAACCAGGCTGCACAGACTATACTTTTCAACCCCTTCCTTGAGAGTTGTTAGGATCTCCCAAAGCAGCATGTTAAACGCATACATTTTTATTTTTATACTCCATTTCAGGACAGTCTCAGTTGACCCAGTCAAGAACCGCACACTGGCTATTAGAATTCTCAGAAGTTTAGCTGAAAGTCTGTCATTTGCCTTGGTGTATGTGTGGTGTGTGTGTGTGTGTGTGTGTGTGTGTGTGTGTGAGTGTGTGTGTGTGCAGCTTTCTAGGTCATTTTAGAATAAGCCTCCAACCTGAACCCATAGCCAAGTGCCGATGAGTTCTTAAACAGAGGTCACATTTCTATCATTTGAAAACGTCTTTTTAAATCGTTGATGGTGTTATTAATGATCAGTAGGGTATTATCACTGTCAGGATGAATGGGTGCGGGAGAAAAGTTTCTTCATGATTTGCATAGTAGAGGTAGTTTTAGTAGCGATGGCCATCACTGACGTGCTACCTCTTACAATAGCTTTCTTTAGGGTGCAAGTGCTGACTTCTTTAGACTAAACAGGTCAAGGGTAGGCTCGGATGCTCTATAGTTTCTCAAAAAAAAAAAAAAAAACCAGACCGGGGGCGGGGTGGCAGCTTTTAGGGAAAACGTGTGTACGATTTAAAATGGTGCCACAAAAACTAAAACTCGGGGATGACTTTCCAGAAATGCAAGCCCAGAGTGTGAGCTGCTACCTTGGGGACCTCAAACCAACGCATTCCCCGCACTGGGCACTTGACAGTCTTTGCTTTGGTTAGGTGTGCCACTGAACCAACAGCTTTTTTTTTTTGTTTTTTTTAAACAAACTACTCTTTTATATTTTGCCAGCAGACTTGAAGGGGGGGGGCGTATTTCCTCCTTCTACTCTTTCAAGAGGAAAATGGAGGTTTTGAGTCAATACCCAGTCTGTAAACTACTACACGGAGGTCAAGTTTATCCTTGCTTAGTACACTGATGGACAAGAAGGGGCTGGGGGCTTTTTGCCACGCCGAGCGTCTGTGAAGCTCAGCTCAGCAAACTCCATGATCAGGTTATAAGAGAAATGGACAGGGAAGGTCAGCGATCAACGGAATAGGAGGCAAGGTAATTGCATTTGCTCTTTCATTTGGGGGGCGGGCGGCCAGTTATCGCAACGCAACAGAAACCTTTCTGCGGGAGGCATCAGGCGCGAGGCCATAGGGTAGTTTTTGTTTGTTTGTTTGGTTGCTTGCTTGTTTGTTTTGGTCTTGTCATTAAGACATTTCATTTTGGAACTGTTAGAAAAGCCAAGCAAATAGCTAAAGCTGAGTTTTAGCATTTGGAGAAAGATGAGCGGAAAGTTACTCGAGGTCACAATAGCACAGGCATTTTGATTCCCTCTCTGCCTGCCATTAACTCAACTCTACACAAACAGGCAACCTCTGCCCCCATGTAGAAAACAGGCAAGCACTTCTAGGCTGCTGCTAAAAATCGCATTTTCCCCTTTGTACTTGGTGAATGCCTCTACCCACAGGGGATGTCATGAGCCCCATCAGTCCAAGAAGCACGGACTGAGTACACTCTGGGTGTGTGACAGATTGACTGGCCTGAGACCAATTTCTCCCACACACCCCCCTCTCATTAGTCTCTGCAGGTTTTCTCTTGTAAATCTCAGAGATCAACTCAGCTAACTCCCTGAACACTGGCTTTGGTGCCCTGCTGGTCGACTGTGGACCGTGGGCCACGGGCAGCGAGAGCCAGAAGGAAGGTTCAGAGAAGAAAAAAAACCCTGAATTCCTTTCCTATTCTGTAGGATGCTAGAGGGGCTCTGTGCACACATCCACGTCCCGACTTCTCAAATCAAGAATATGCCGCTCTTGGAAGGAGCGCTGCATTATCCAACGACACTAACACTAAAATCCAAGGAAGGAGAGCCAAGCTACTTGATATTAATGCTCTTGCCAAAGAGGAATGAGGGCAGAAATGGCAGCTTCAGGCAAGATGTGCCCCTGTCGGAGGGTGGTGGCCCTCCTGTATACACCTACTCACTTTCCTCTGTTTCGGCCACCGTTCCTCTGTGCTGGGACCAGTTCTCCTTAAGACTAAATTGGTGGAAAAGGGCTTTATTCTGTGGAAAGGGAGAAAGAGAACGATGAATGAATGAACCCTTGCCCTTTGGAAAGTCGCGGTTGTTTACAACATGTCCCAAAAGAGCTAGCCAATTTCATTTATTTACTTCTTAAACATGAAATCCACCCATCTAACCTTAGAGAAATAAAGACGGCGTTGCTTCAGTTAAATGTGGGTAGGGGAAGATTCTGAGCCTTAGGAAGGAGAGGTTGGCCAAGGCCTGGAGCAGGCAAAAAGCTCCTTGGTACAGAGGACACCCCAGAAACACCCACAATTCTTTTGGAAGACACTTTCTCCATCCCAGAACAAGCTCTGAGATGCAGTTAAGGTAACCTCAGCTCCTGCCTTTTCCAGATCATTCCCCACCCCCGCCACTGGTTACGAGGGTCACTCATCTTCTGTCAGACACTGACCAATGTCCTCTCCTGCATTCCCCCCTCATCGAGTTCAGTGGAAACACAACACCTTTGCTACCATCCCTCTGTCATGTTGAAGGTGTGAAATCTTTTTCAGAAGGCTTTCTTAACTCTCGGAGTAAGGGAAACCCTCCAGTTAGGCTTCCTATTTGGATTTGGAGGGAGGGATGTGAGCAGTTTTAAAATTCAGACGTGTATCAGTTTGGTGACAGCAGACAGGAAGGACAATGCAGGCTAGCTGCATCCCTGGATTTCCCTGTCTTACCCTGTTAGATTTGGGGCTGTATTCGCTTTAAATTACAAGGAAATGCCAAGTCAGGCAAGGCAAGCTCTCTAAGTCAGATCCACGCCCCCCTGCACTGCTGCAGATACAAAGGCATTTACCAACCTTCCTCTGCGGTGAGTATTCATCAACAGTGCTGCAAAGAGAAAGGTAAGACATGAAACTCGTATAGGAGACTCGCTTCCAGGAACAGCACCGCAGAGACGTTCATTGTTTAAAAAAAAAAAAAAAAGACAAAACAGAGCCAGTGAGGCAGATACTCAGTAAAGGTGCTAACCGCCAAGCCTGACGATTGGAGATCCATCCCCAAGCCTGACACAGCGGAATGAGAGGTTTACTCCGAATGCTGTCCTCTGACGTCTATGTATACTCAGTGTGTGCTGTGGGTCTTTTCTGTTTGTTTTTGTCTTGTCCTTGTGACACTTGGGAACAAGAAACTGCAAATGAGGATCTGTCTTCCTCACCCTGCCCTGCCTGATAAGTCTGAAGGCATCCCACCGCCTTACACCAGAGAAGCAGGGACTCCCGCCTCCTTCTCTGCACGAGTGCTTGTGTTTCGGGAGATGGCCCACACCGCCAGCCCAACTCACATCTTCATACAGTTTTTCTCACTTCAGCTTGCTAGTTCCCGTCATAACGAATGTAAAATCTGGATGGGATGCCCTGGATTTCAACGACAGGGTTAACGTATGCGAGCGCATTAAACCAGGCAGGGAGGTTTCCCAACTGTAACAGTACGGAGTCCCATCCAAAAGGGGGGATTACTTAGTCGTAAAGTTTATCTTTCTTTCCTATTTTCTTTTTGGTTTCATTTACTAATTATAATTTCACATCAACATCAAGCTATCCATACTTGCAGCATTGATTTCTAAAAAAAAAAAAACAAACAAAAAAAAGGGGTCCTACCTTGCACCCAGTTTCTGAACGTGCAACTCTGACAAGTAAAACAGAGGCTTCTGTTTGCTCCTTAAGACTAACACACACACACACACACACACACACCTTTTGTTTGTAATGGGGGCTCCCTCAGGCTTTAAATCTCTAACTAGTTATCTCAGTGGCCTGGACCTACATTTCTCGAGACATGTGCCCACACTGTTGCTGAAGTCTGACAAGCAGCTCCAACTTGATGGCGTACTGCCTTCGCGCTATTGAAAATGAGGAACCGCACTACAAACTGGATAAACTTGGCAAAGGCTGTACCTTGGAATTGAATAACGTATCAGTGCTTCCACTGGCCAAAATTAGTAGGGAAAGCCGTTAAAACCCAGCGGAGCCAGGTGCTGCCAATCTCAAAGATTTATTTATGAGTGCTACTTATGGGACACTTGGGCATGCTGACAGTTAACTCGAGAAATTGGCTTTCTCCAGTCTTTCTAAACAGATAAGGAAACCTCAGGAATCTCGTAACATTGTGCCTACGAAATGCTCCGTGACTCACTGGGACCTGTTTATAACCCTTTTTCTGCCCTGTTCCACAGAGCTGGCCCTGAGTCCCCAAATGATAAGCTAAATATGTGACTTAAAAAATCAAGGAATAAATTCATATACTGTCTTTATATACTCAGGATGTCACCATCCAGTTTGGTTTTATCATTGAAAACTTAAAAAAAAGTCAATGAGTATGAACCACCGTTCTTTTAGTTCTATTTGCAAAAAACAAAAACATACAACTTACTACTAGACTACTAGTAATCTAGATAAATCCAGGGCTCAGATGAAAAAAAATTTCACTTTATGTACATGACAGCCTAAACTCTACATTGGCTGTTGCATTCACTGTCTGCTACCAGGAAAGCTAAATACTCACTGACGTCGATGCATTCCAAGTATCTTCTGAAACTCTTTCAGTTCTTTCTCAAGAATTGGGTATTCGTAGACGTCATCCAGCACATTCCTGTATATGGTCTGCAGGGAGGGTGGAGACGAGAAATGGCAACTGTAACGATTTAAGTGTCTATTCTGTAAGGGTTAGGATGTAGACAGGGCCACCCATAGAGTTCTCAGTTGTAGTACACATCTCGAATGTGTAAAGCTCTAGTTCAGTTCCGGCACCACCACCAATTTAAAAAAAAGGCTCAGGTAATGGTTATCTTGTTCCAGGAAGTGGGTGGCATTCAGGACTAGGTAGGAGTTACATCTTAGCCACTCAACTGCAGGCCACTGCTCTCAGGCTGCTCTTAAAGGATGTCTGTTGGGGATGCTGGAACCAGATCACTTAGCTGGCTATAAGAGATTTCCATGAGTAGTTTAGGTTTCAAAACAGAACACCTGCATGACTACCTGGGTGGAAAACATATTAAAAATAAACTGCGGGTTTCAGAAACAACCTGAGTTATGGCAGAGGGATGGCTAGGTATGTTGGGTTCAATGCCATTTCCTCTATATCGATAGGCAGGGTCGGTTCACGTTTTTTGTTTCAAAGCAGATGTCTTGCTAAATTCCCCCTCTTACCCTTTCTTCGCGCTGATTTGTACATCCAATACAGTGGTCAAATAAGTCAAACTCTCTATTCCAGAGGACTGTCCCTGGTAAATACACGTTGCGAACTCTTAATATCTCGACAAATTGGTTTATCTGGCTTAGTGCCTTTCAGATTGTTACTATTTCAAAGTTTATTGTCAAATATCTATTCTTAGATAAAATTCTTAAATACAGCATGTATTCAGAATTCAAATCATGATGCAATTTATCATGATTAATATGATTTTAAAATGTTTATGTAAGTATTGTTTGCCATATAGGTGTTATTAGTTTTAACATTATCATAAATCTAGCATTAAATCTTTAAGCATATTTTGGTATACCTTTATTTAATTTGTAATAAAAATTTTCATGATTTAAATAAACCATCCAAAATTAGTGTCTATAAAAATTTTCACACATAGTTTTTCAAAATATATTTATGATTTTTAAAATAAGTTCCTCTGGGGCTGGAGAGATGGCTCAGAGGTTAAGAGCACTGACTGTTCTTCCAGAGGTCCTGAGTTCAATTCCCAGCAACCACATGGTGGCTCACAACCACCTTGAATGATATCTGGTGCCCTCTGCTGGCATGCAGGCAGAAGACTGTATATACAATAAATAAATAAAATATTTAAAAAGATAAAATAAGTTCCTCCTTAGAGAATGCCTGGTCTTAGAAATCAGAATGAATCTAAACCTTCACTGAATTTGACACACCAAAAGCTGAATGACTAAAAATGAGATTTTTATTATTTTTTTTGGAAGCACGTAGCTGAAAACAAAATCGACCACTTGGCATCAGAATGCCCCAAAGCGCTGGAATACCTTTAGAAACATTTTTGAATGCTCATCTTCATGCAGCCAGTCTTTGTACAGAGCAATCCACTGTGAAACCAGATGTAAGACCTTGCGCTTCCGGCAAGGGACATCCGAGTTTTCTTCTTCCCCTCGATACTTCTTAGCAGAATAGGTGCCAATGGTTAAGAAAGAACACTGCGTTTGCAAAGGAACACAAACTTTTTTTTCTTTTACAAAATGGGCTAAAGCATATTTTCCAAAGAATGTGGAACTGCATAAAGGTGAAAGAATAGGACCCAGAGCGTGGAGGACCGAAGCCCGCCCCACCTTCCTCCCTCTCCCCCGCAGGCTGGCAGGGCCGTGTAGCTGAGGGGCTGGACCTCGCCCCTGCAACTGCTGACAAAGTCCCAGGGGGGGTGCGTGGGATGAATGTCAGTTCCAAGCCCACAGGAGGCGGCTCACAGATTTCAAGGGGCAGCTTCCAAAGAAGACACAGCCTCGCTACACAGGTGAGTACTGTTTCAATGAGGCACGCCAGAAGGAAGCCAGGCAACCTTTGATCTTCAGAAATTCATATTTTATGAAACCCAGTTGCTTCTAAAGCTGTTCCAGATGAGCACAGCTGTCTGGAGCACAATTGGTGGCCTGACTCAAATGCCCGAGCCTGAGAAAGTACTGGAACAAAGGAACCAGATGAATGTGCAGGTAAAACGGGCTCCTGATTTTCAGCTTCATTAACGTAAATTTAAAACGTGACAGGGGAAGGGATAAGAGTTCCAGCAAGAGGTCAGTTAAATAAAGGACTCTGAGGCCATAAACGCGGGGTGGGTACACATATTAAAAATGAACATTCACAGTATGTTGCTGAGCATAAAAACAAGAAAAACAGAAGCATTTTCTACTTGGGTTAATTAATAATGGCTTCCATGACTGTTGTAGTAATGCTTATATGACTATTTTTAATTACTTAGAAAGATGATGACTAACAGCGGCTTTCCAGTATATCTAGATTTGAGAACATGCTCTCCAGTATATCCAGATTTGAGAACATCTGAACCATTTCCTAATTAACTAATCATTAAAATAGCTTCAAAGTAGCAACCTTTGATTGACTAGGAATGAGACAGGAGCTGGGAATTGTCTAAACTCATAAACTCATCTATTCCTTTTTCCCTCAAAATTATCATTTCTTTTTTTCCTTTCCCCTCCCTCCCTCCCTCCCTCCCTCCCTCCCTCCCTCCCTCCCTCCCTCCCTCCCTCTCCTTCTTTTCTTTTTATTTCAGGACAGAGTCTCGTGTAGCACAGGCTGGCCCTAACTCTTCATCCTCTGGTCTCCACCTCCCAAGAGCTGGGATTGCAGGTGTGCACCTCACCACCATTCCCGACCCCGACTGTCCTGATTGTGTGGAAAAGCTAGACCCAGAAAGCACGGGAAGGTGGTTGATCAAGACCGCAAATCTTTTAATGCCAGTGAACAGCTGCAAAAATAGAAAGGAGCTATTCCTCAGACTCTGCAAATATGTTAAGACATGACTCAGCCACTCTCCTCCTAACTTGCAAGAAAACACTGGGGCCACTTTCAAAGTCTACTTGCGAAATAAAATCAGCCACACAAACAAACAAAATGCCTGCTAAAGTGCCTATTTCTTTCAGTTTTTTCTCTTGAAAAGCAACTATAAAGGTTAATTCTACCAGTGTGTCTGCTTGCACATGTATTCATTTTGAACATGTCTAGCAAGGAGGAATGTAGTGATATATTATTATTCACGATCCATTAAAGCTTGACTCGGTATTCTGAAAAGCAAAGCCAGTCTCAAGCTTGTAGAGGTCAGGCAGGGGTGACACACACCTTTAATCCCAGCATCCAGAAGCTACACACCTTTCATCCTAGGACTCAGGATTAAGAGGTAGACTGATCTCCCCGAGTTCTAGGCCACCCAGGGACTCACGAGATTGAATCAGTCTAAAAGAGAAACAGATCACCGGGTCTTTAATCCCAGCACTAGAGGGGTGTAAAAGATAGAAACAGCATCTTCAGTAGTCAGTATAGGCATTTGGTCTCCAGCCTCACTGAGGACAGGCAGCAGTTTGAGACTTGGGGAAGAGCTTGTGTGTGGGTCAGTCTTTTCAGCCTGAGCTTGAGGTGAGAGCTAGTGGCCGGCTGACTGCTTTGCTTCCCTGATCTTCATCTTGAACCTCAATATCTGCCTCTGGGTCCTTTATTTGTGTTACATTTGAGAAACTCTTGGTGAAGATCTGGGCTTCAACCATATGTCATATTTTAAGTCTCGCAGCCATACATCCACAGAAGAAAGCAATTTCATAACTGGCAGTGTTCAACTATTATTCCCAATTTATAGTTACTAATATTTATTTTCTTAACCTCGTGTTCCCTGCTATATTACCTTCTAGAACACTTACTGGCTTTTGTATTTGTTCTTCTGCTTCACTGTAGTAGGGCATAGGTTTTTATAGTTTGCCCAGGCTTAATTATACTGATTTATAAGTGGAGTATTGGGGGAAGGGCATGGGTGAGTTACAGGTTCTTTGGAATGCATCGAATATTAGCTGGCTGGCCCTGGCTACCAGCTTCATTGTAATGTGCTTTACTATGGTAAAAGCCAAAAAAAAGCCATTCAATCCTATTACAATAAAGATACCCATATAAAATATCAGAGCACCGTGAAATGGTTGCAACCTATAAATAGTGCTTAAAAATATTGGGAAAACAGACAAACAAAAATGACCTAGATCATTCTTTAGTACTGGACTATGACAGGTATCTCTGTGAAGGCAGGAGCAAAATTGCTGTTACTTGATGCGGATGTCACAGTTTCAATTGTGGTTTGTGTGACTTCACAGATAGCAAGAAACAAAAGCAGTCGTGCAAAGAGACCCGTGGCGTAAGCTGTTTTCTATTCTGTGGACTTTAATAATGAAAAGGTTGCAGAAATAACTAGGATTTCGTATAAAATGTCTTGGTTAAAGACTGAAAAACACAAATACCCAAGGAGACCCTCAGACATTCTTTGGGAACATCCACAGGGACATTAAATTATTAAGTGGTAATAAAAATCATATTAGGATCATAGCTGAAGACAACAGTTTAAAGGCATGTAATTTGTGACAGGATGCAATTCTTATAGTTAATGGGCGGTGATTGCTTTAGCGTAGGTAGGCATTAAAATGTAGATGAAATTAGCTCACAGATTTTTTTTTCAAAATACATCTGAAGGAGAAATTTAAAAACTTATAACTACTGTTGATTTAAAAAAAAAAAAGCACCTCACTTGAAAACCACGAGAAAAATCTGCATATTGCTGAAAATTTTCAGATCCAAAATTAAACACTTTCAAGGATTGGTTTTATGAGCCAGATTTTAGAAACCACCAAAAATACCTACAGCTTGGCTTATTCGGAGGATTCGGTGAGGCTCCAAACAGTTCATACATAAATCTATGCCATTTCTAGTTCACACACACACACACACACACACACACACACACACACACACACCTACATCAATATATAAGTACTCTTTTGGTGTTGTGTGTGTGGACGTTGTGTTTGCGTGTGTGAGCAGGTTCACACACACGTGCGCCTGGAGGTCAGGTCAGAGGTCAACCATGAATGATGACATTTGCTGGGAAACATCCACTGTTTTGTTTGAGACAGGGTCACTCACAGGCTCCCACTCAGGGCAGGCTCCCACTATCTGGCTAGTGAGCCCTGCAGCTCTGCCTGCCTCCACCTCCCCAGAACCAGGATTACAAACTCCCGCCAGACAGACAGACAGACAGACAGACAGACAGTCACTACGCTGAGCTCGGTTCTGGAGACTCTGCTGAACTGTCTCTGAAAGCCCTGCTTGCCTTCATAGACACCCAGCGATCTCCCTGACTCACTCAGCCCTCTGAATGCTGGGTTACAGCTACATGACACCAAGTCTGGATTAGTCAACTTTTTTGTTTGTTTGTTTTGTTTTTCAAGACAGAGTTTCCCTGGATAGCCTTGGCCATCCCGGGAACTCCCTCTCTCTGTCGACCAGGCTTAGTCGTGTATTTTTTTTTTAAGGGATGTTTTACTTTCACTTTATGGACTTTTAAAGTATTCGTTTAGGTGTGAAAAAATGCAGTATGGTTGGGAGACATATAACAATTATTTAACAGGAAAGGAATCTTAAATGGCCATTACCGTTAGGCATTAATACAATCTTTGGCTTATAAACCATTTTCCTAAATATTTTGTGTAGAGTAGATTGGAAGGGAACCTCTGGTTTGGTTTAATAAAAGCAGTAAAGTATTTTTTTATTAAATGCGTAAGGGCTATAATTTTTTTTTTTTTACGAGACAGGGTTTCTCTGTATTGTTTAGGAGGCTGTCGGTCCAGCCCGGCCTTGAACTCACAGAGATCCACCTGCCTCTGCCTCCAGAGTGCTGGGATTAAAGGTGTGCCACCACCGCCCGGCTGCGTAAGGGCTAATTAACTAAATTAATTTATTAAATACTCAGTTGCTTTGGAGGCATCTTCTCTACTAAGCACAGTTGAGGCAAGAAGCCCTAGTGGAGACTTCTAGACAGTTTATATGGGCTTACGCCATTAAAGGGTTATGTAGTAAACACTCCAAAAAGATTGACAATGGCATCTAGGGATGAAAGTAGGTTTCTTATTGGGGAGAACAACTCAGGCATCCAGGGATGTTTTCCCAGGAATATCACACACACACACACACACACACACACACACACACACACACACACACACACACACGGGTGGAGGGGAGCTACACAAGACATCTAACTCTGAATGGCTGAATCTCTATAAAAACACTGTTGTTGTCAATCCCTCTTGACCTCTTCACTTGGGTTTACCTGAAGGCAAGTTTACTGCCAGCTCCCTAAGCAACCGGAAGAAGCAGATGTAAAGCAAACATGATTTACACAGCACGCTTCGCCCACAGCACAGACCATGAAGGCAGCAGCCCTGCATTTCCCACTCGATACCCTTGTATATCCTGCTGCATTTCCCGCTCGCCTACCCCTGTCTGTCCTGTCTCATTTCATCCTCGCCTCGGGTATCATGGCATTAATATTTAACGCGTCTACAACTCCGCCGTGGGTTGAGTAAATTAAGGAAGGCAGTTCATTCGCAATGCAGGGTGTCTGCCCGGAGGAACCCTGCACAGCACCCTGAAGTTAAGGAAGGATATTGCCTTAACAGCGCCTGGCACAGGTCATCAGTCGTCATGAACACGGTGTATGTGAGGAGGAAGTCATCGAGGAGCGTCTCTGCAAAAGAAGAGAAGAAACACAGTGTGAGCAAAGAGAGGGCCAGAATAGTGTCTGCTGCAGGGACACGGTGACTGATGGGGGCTAGAGTAAAATTCCACCAACAAATGCACTAAGTATTAAATGTGACCTTTAAAAAACTCTTTACACCGACGCTTCAAACACTCAAGACAAATTTTCTCAATATGCCATTATTATTCCATTTACTAAGAGATCACTTATATCTGAGAGTAGAGGCGTCTCTGAAAGCTCAACACATGAATAATGTCTTAAACAATGAAGTTCCTAAGCCTTCTGAGGTATGTGTGTGTGTATATGTATATGCACACACACAGTACAGTTTTACAGGAAAAAAAAGCCTTCAAAAGTTCTGATAAAGTAAGACTTGGCAAGGCCATTCATTTTTATTGAGGGTAAGAATAAGGGTAAGAAAAACCACAAGACACACATCGGGTCCAAAGGTCATTTGTTCACATTTTCCTTTCAAGCCCATCTGTAAGAAGTTGGTTTGGTGGTAGATGAAGTGTTTGCCTAGCGCTAGCAAGGCCTTCAGTTTGCATCAATACCACACAAAAAGAAAAGTTGGGAAAGTGACGCAAGATTTTCTTACTACGGTGAGGAGGGACGGACCCAACTCCAGTGAAAAACCAGGAGCCTGAAATTCTAGCCTAACAACAAAATGCTTCTTCCTAATTCCATTTACAATGTCACGTTTTCAGTTAATGTACAAAACAATAGGCTTCAGTGTGACATTTCAAAACACGCTGATCATTGCACTCAGTTCCTTTTGCTCCCCTACTTTCCGTGTCCCCCACCCTACAAGCCCCAGTCCCCCCCCCTTTTCCCCTTCTTGGGTGTTTCTGGAAAAGTTGGCATGTGATATGGGGCTGCAAAACGGGCAAACTCTGATCCCCAACCACAATTTCCAAAGCAGCAGAGCTCATGTGTAAAATACAAAACAGTTTCACAGAAATCTCTCTGCCCGGTCCCTTTATCATTCATCGTACAGCACGATTTAATTTTCAGGTGCATGAAGCAAACTATGAAGGCAATGAAATTATGCAGCGTTACAGACTGAAGATGGACACCACCTCTACCTTAATAAATAGAAACCTGCTTCTTAACACGATGGAATTAAGAGGTGGAACACTTGACATGTCAGTAGGACCGTGTGGAGTCTTGGGGGTGGGGTGGATCCTTTAGGGATGGGATCAGTGACCCTTCAGGGGTCCCGTGTGTCTGTCCCTGTGTCTACGCTGTGAGTGCTCAGTGAGACGGGCTTTGAACCAGGATCAAGCCCTCACCAGGCAGTACCTTCGTCTTGAGCTTCCCAGCCTTCATCGATGTGAGAAACCACTCGGTATGTGGTTACTTTGTAAGAGTAATCTTGAGTCCATGATCTACATGTTAATAAATGCCTAGGTATAACTAATTGTCTACTACAGAGCTCTGTGAAGACTTAACAACAACAACAACAACAAAAGATTCCAGAATATAGTTAAACACAACTAGTTACATCTGCTCTAAAAAAAGAAAAAGATCAAATGCAAAACAACAAGGCTGTATCTACAAATCAAATCCTGCTCAAATAAGAGAACACCTATCAGCCTCAGAGTTATTTCTAGGTTTGACTTGGTTACAGAATAACAAGATGATTCTGCTCTACGTTAGGCAATGGTTTTGTGTGTGTGTGTGTGTGTGTGTGTGTGTGTGTGTGTGTGTGTGATGGGGGAATGTCCTTCTGTATATGTGCTTCTCTTATTGGTTGACGAATAAAACACTGTTTGGCCAACTGGCCAATAGAGGCAGGAGGACAGGTGGAACTAGGAGACAAGGAGAATTCTGGGAAAGGTAGGCAGAGAGAGAGGCCTTGGAAAGAGACACCATATAGCTGCCAAAGGAGTAACAGGTCTGGGCATTCTCAAATATTTGAATGCTTAATTATCAGAGAGTGGCACTACTTGAGAAGGACTGGGGGTGTGGCTTTGTTGGGGTAGGTGTGGTCATGTTGGAGGAAGTGCATCACTAGGGGTGTGGGCTTTGAGGTTTCAAAAGCTCAAGCCGGGCCCAGTGGTTCCCTCTCTTCCTGCTGTCTGTGTATCCAGAAATAGAACTCGCAGCTGTTTCTCTAGGTCTGCCTGTGTGACACCATGATCTCTGTCATGATGATAATGAACTGAACTGAAAGCTGGCTCCAATTTCATGCTTTCTTTTAGGAGAGCTGCTGTGGTCATGGTGTGACTTCACAGCAACAGGACACTGACTAGACACTGCTCTTGGTGCTGGGCTTATGGGTCCATGCACGGCTGGATTTTCCATGGGTACTGGGGATTCTTGCTTAGACCACACACACACACACACACACACACACACACACACACACACACACACTCGGGCAGCAAGCACTGTTACCCATAGAGCCTAGAGCCGTCGCCTTTAAATTGCAAGAAGTCATTGGAGTGAGCCACGGTGCTAATTAATGAAGACTATAGTGGAATTTTTTTAACAAAGATATTTACAATTTATACAGGGTCTTAAGTTCAATCCCCAGCACTGAAGGGAAGACTTTTTTTTTAATAAGTCATAGTGTATCAAAACAATATGACAAATGGCACCTAAAACTCACTATAAGGCTAGACGTTCAATGTTCTGGACATTAAAATATGCTCGCAAATTACTGGCCTGGCTTGCTGCTACTCTCTTATCTGTTTATCTTTTGTTGTTGTTGTTGTTGTTTAAGACAGGGTTTCTCTGTGTAGCCCTGGCTGTTCTGGAACTTGCTCTGTAGACCAGGCTGGCCTTGACCTTCCTACCTCTACCTCCGCTTTGTGAGTGCTGGGATTAAAGGCTTGTGCCATTACCACCTGGCTTGCTCTCTCTCTCTCTTCCTGTCTCTCTCTCCATATATATATATATATATATATATATATATATATATATATATATATATATGTTTCCCCCAAACAGGTGTTCACAGGCTTTGTTGGGTGAAAGTTAAGCTTAACATAAAAAAACATTGTGTGCCTCATCAGACAATACACAGCCTGTACTTACAGACCAGCTATAAGTCCCACAGTCTTTCTTTATAAAAGCCCCAAACCACTCACTTAACCTAACAGCCTGTTTTTAAAGATTAGTAATTATAACGACAGATTTGGGTACATGCAATGACTTCTATTACCGTTTTAAGGTATTTGAACTTAAAAATCAACCGCATACATGATGTCTGAAAGACCCACGGTAATTTGGAATGCATTCGAGAGCTATCATTTCGGAATATCTTCCCCATACACAGTAAACTTAGGCTAAATATGATTGCTAAAAGCTCTTTTAAAAACATTTCTACTTCACGTGTCTGCGTGTTTGAACTGAATGCATATATTTGTGTGCCGTGTGTGTGCCTGGTGCCTGTAGATGACAGAAGAGGTCACTGGATCTCCTGGAACTTGTTGTGAATGGTTGTAAACTGCCTTGCACGTATGTTGGGAGCCAAACTCAGCCTGTCTGCATGAGTAGCAAATGCTCTTAACCAATGAGCCAGCTCTTCAGCTTCTTACGGAAAACACTTAACTTCTCTGGCTGGATTAGAAATTAAAATGCCCCCCTTTTCGGCACGTCATGCAAGACACAGACGATGGGAAGGACGACAGACCACCCTGCTCTGAGGTATTCCGTAACCCCCACGGGTAGGAGCCACCGACGCTCAGAAAGGACCAAGGGACCACATTAGGAACTCCGCACATTTGAGTGGCACTTAAAATGCTTGATATGACAGACAGGTGGGGATATTCTTACTCTCTGCTGAATCTAGTGAGGTAGAAACTATTTTCCAATCAAGAATGCTCCTCCGCCGGGTGACTGTGGCGTACACTTTTAATCCCAGCACTCGGAAGGCAGAGGCAGGCGGATCTCTGTGAGTTCGAGGCCACCCCTGGTCTACAGAGAGAGTGCCAGGACAGCCTCCAAAATACAGAGAAACCCTGTTTCGAAAAACCAAAAAACAAAACAAAGACTTTTCTCCATTAGTAGCTAAGCTTAAAAAGAACACCACTGACTTTGACATAAGCCACCATTCCATGCCAAACAAACCCTCAGGTAATGAGTGGTGAGAGTCTGGTCAGATGGTAGCAACCCACTTGGCATTCAGTTCAATTAATCAGCTCGCATATCACAATATTTTGTGAAAAGCTTTGACCCAGAAATGCTTATTTCCCCCTAAGCTACAACCATATTTAATATTCAACAGCGTTTACCTAATTATCTGTCATAGAAATATTAATTAAAATAAAAACAATGAGGCCATATGAAAACATCTCCAGTTAAAAGTCTAATGAACAGAACAGTTAAAAATCCCAGCAAATAGATCAGATTTCCCAACACTCCCAATTGCAGTCTTTCTTTTGAAACCATGGTTATTTCTCCCCATGTAACAAGCTTTCCTTTATTCCTTTGCTGCAAAGATTAAGAATGTAATTGAGAGATATGAACAAAAAGTATAATCAAAAGCGGTGCACTTCAAATAAAAGTGCATTTCATTTTATACCATCCATGCTTCAAAAAGAAAAAAAAAGTCTGTCCCGCTGGTATTTAGAGATTTTGTGGTTTTTGTTTAAGAACCACAATGACTGTGAATGATTCCCAAAGACCATTAGCTAGCAACAGCTGTTTAGAAAGACTAGCACATCCACCAGTATCCGTATTAAAGCACAGTAATTATCCATGATGTTACATAGTGCTTAATTAACAGTAATTTAAGAATGTAGGCAGAAAAGCACTTTTGTATTCATAAAGACATCTTTCATTTAAACAGATCTACACACTCACATTCTGATCAAGAGATGTGTTCATTTTGATTTCTAACACTATGAATTCCCAGGTATTAATACACAAAGAGAACCGTTCTTTAGGGCTCATCATTAACCTTTGGGAATGTTCACTGCTTTTGTGTTTTTATTAGGGTAGGGTGCTGGGGACTGAATCTAGGGCTTCATGTAAGTTAA